AATCACGTCCTAAATGTTTGCGAAATATTTTTTTGGCCTTTCTGCAGTAGGGACAATAGTATTTTGTGAACAGGACAACCTTTTTTGAGTTAATTCTGTCCGCAATGAACCTGCGAATTGATAAGTCCCTCCTGTATATGCAAAAAAATTAATTAAATAGCTACAGACTTGTGACTTCTAGCCATTTTTTTACATCTTTACTACCTCTTCCCCAAGCATAAATATGTGTTCCGATTTAAAAGAATAACCAATTAAAGGGAATCCCAGTTAATTGCAGTGCACCGTTTCAAACAACAAGGTAAAAAGTAAGATATAAACAGCAAAGTTGCCGCATTAAAGGCTCTTTAAAATCAAACAACAGTGAAACTGTGTTTATTTATCTGCCTGCAGTCACAGTGCAGTGCAGGGAAAATTTTACAAGCGCTTCTAAATACGTGATTAACAAGTCGCTTTATTTTGCAAAGAGCCACACCTAAATATTACCTTGTGACTTGATGATAGCACCCTAATTAAGATTTATAAGGATGCAACTTGTCAAAAATTAATTTATTTCAAAAATAATATTTAAATGATCAAATATTCTGCTCAACTGCATGTAGTCAACTAACCAACCACATGAATGGTTCCAAAACCTTTTAGGCTTTGCACCAGTTATGCATACGTTTTTCCACAAACTAAAGATCTATAAAAGGACTCACTATCCAAGACCGTTAATTTTCTTATAACAAAGCACCACAAACTGAATTTTCGAGTATTTTACCACCAGCTTAAAGTGTTTTAACAATATGAGCTAGTAAACCTTCCGGTTTTGTAGTACTAACCGAATTTCTCCCAAAGTCATTATAGCATTATACACTGAAATCCCCCTCCCAATTAACAGATATTTATTTTTATTACTAGTGTGCATTGAGTTGCATAACATACCAAATTTTTTATTTATGCAGGCTGCACTGAAAAGTTCTAATCATTTTGGGTAGACAACCGTTTTACAGGTGACGCCCATCGGAAATATACGTTGATTGTTCCTAAGCTTTAACCGGCCCTTGTTCGGTGCCATGGATTTTGCCTCTCTTCATCGACGCGGCCACATCTATTGTGTCTCTGCACACTTTCGTGGAAAAAATTTAGGGGCTTAACTTGTTTGCAATTAATTTAGTCCCATTTTATTAACAGACTTAATAAATGATTGATGAATAAATTTATTGCCTTGTCTTTAGTTTTGCTAAATAATGACCGTGTCTGAGTTAGCTTTTGCAAACGGTCTCTCTATTGAAACAAATCTTATCTGGTGTCAGACGTTATGGGACCATTTGATTCTCTCCCCTTCTCAGTCTCATGTCATAAGCTGTCACAGGACAATGGGAGAGGAGTGATAGAAGATATTTTCTCTCTATGGTAATTTTTTGTAATAAACCTTAAAGAATTGTGGTTTTTGCCCAAATAGTTTGTCACTCTTCAGTGCCTCTGGTGAAGCCACTGCAAAAGTCCCGAAAGATCAAAAGTTTGCCTGGAGCGCCACGACACCGAGATGGCATCCAAAGTGTACTTCCTAGTCTCCCTCCCGACTTCCTCGTTCCCGGAGGTCATCTCTTTGTTTCTAATCTATCAAAGCACTCCTCTTCATTATCAAGTGACTGGAAAAGTGTGCTTAGTTGGAGCAAGTTTTACGCATACGCTCCATTCCAGCAGTATAATGCTCTCTCCCTCTCTTTGTCTCCCCCATTATGAGGCACTCTTCTCTAAAAGGTCAATGAAACCTGGTGAACGAAGTGGAAGAACTCATCGACAGAAAAAATGGTTTCCTCGAAAAGCAGTGCAAAACGTATGCAGTGATGAATTATGTGTCAAACGCTTGAAATCCACATCGAGTTCATTCTGACAAGGCAAAAAAGTAGGTGGAAAGTTTTTTAATCGTTAAATTAATAGGATAAGTCAGTACCCCTGTCGGATTTGAGGAAACATATAGAATGTAGGAACAAACAGGCCTGAGGCCTGAAAAGGAAGGGAAAGGCGGAACCTTGAACAACAGCAAAACTTGTCCATAAGACGAACTCATATTACAGTTTAGATTAAGATGAAAAGACATTTCCCCATTCTTTCATTTCCCACTCTCCTTGCATCTCTCTTACATGATACCTCACAGCACCGATTTAGAGACCTGCAGGAGAGACTGGTCACTCAGGCTGATCCCTCCTCCCCTGTCACAGGTCGCATAATGCCTGATTCTGGTGGACTGTCAACAGGGGTGAGGAGAAAAATGAGAAAAAAGCAAACAGTCCACTATGTGGATAAAATAACGTCACCTGGGACAGAAGTTGACAGCATGACAATGATTGAGCCTCGTTGTCATGACGGTTTTGGATCACCTCTTGGAGACTCCAAGCGACTAATATTGTTTTCAGCCTTTGTTTACCTTTAAAACGGCGTCAACGAAGTATGGAAGGATTATGTCTAGAGTAATCATTCCTTGAAAAAGCACTCCCAAAGTCATGCATCTGCTTGGTAACAACTCAGCATTGGCAAGGCCTTATTAGCCATTGGGATACTCCCATCCTGTCGTCGGAAGCACTGGTGAATAAGCAGTCAGGTGTATTTTTTCCAGAGAAGCTCTCTAGAACAAACAGGTTTGCAAAAAATGCTTGAAAAAAAGACGAAGGATGCGAATTATCAGAATGAGGGAGAAAACGCAGGATGAACGAATGCCTCCCATACGTGGCTGTCCCACTCGCTCGTTCGCTTGCCCCTCCGCCCACCCACTCGCCCGCTTGCCCGCTTATATAAGCTCCCTGCATCAACCAACCAGCGCTCCTCTGTGCTCCAGAACAGCTGATTGACTTGCGCTTTCACGGTGGATAGTTTGGATTTCCCGCCTCCTCCACCTGCTCCTTACGGGCAACAGCAACCTTCCACTGCAGCATCCTATTACGATGCCACACTCCTTCAAGTCGCTAGGCCAGACAGCCTCGTGATGGATAAGGCCGACAACATGGAATCTGAAAGAGTCACAGAAGTGGCTCTCAAGACCATCCAACGATTTCACCAGATTGGCCACCATAGCACAGTGTGTGAGGCGCCTCCAGAGACCGCAAAACGAAAATTTGCTTTCTTTTCTGCAACCGCGAGGGAAAACGGGGCCTCAAGCGATGGTACCTTCCACCGCAACAATGTCAAGTCAGACAGTGTTGACGGTGGCGGTGTCGGCGACGGTAGTACTGGCAGTGGCGACGGTGGGGTTGGCATAGGAAGCGGCGATAGCGGTAACGGTGGTGGACGATCCTTGTTTATCTTCTCCGAGAGTAATCTACTTCGAAAGGCGGCTAAAACACTCATCGATTGGGGATATCCTTTTACAATGACCGCGAGTTTGACCCATTTTTAAAACGTGATAATTTTAAATCCTTTTTGCAATTTTTACGAAATTTCTAGCAAGACGTCGGTAAAAATCTGTGCAAGAAACACTTTAGGGACTTGTGATTGTAAGTGGGGAGGAGATGAGCACCAACCGCTTAGTTCCAACAGTTACCATTTACCCGAGCGGTTTATTTAAGAACTACAAATACTTGGCCTCCATCCAGGTATAAGAGTTATTTTAGAGTCATTTTTTCACCTATCTCTGCAGCTATGTAGTTCTGGTAACTTTTTTCTCAAAAGGTTAAAACGGTTTTTAGGTTTAAGTAACAGACATTTGCTGGCGACTTTTGCAACCATCAAGTAGCTCCTCTGGTAGCATAAAAGTCGTCTTCTTGCACCAATACAAACGATCAAGGCAACTGCGGCTAGAATAATTGCATTTTTAAAATTTGCGGTAAAATGTTAAAGCACTACTTTTTGATTTGGAAAAAAAAATTGCGGATTGTTGCTTCTTTATTCTGCTCATCAAATTTTGGTGAAATCAAAGTGATAAAGTAAAAGAGTTTAAGTCCCTCTTTGCCCAATTAGCACATTTGCCTGACTCAAGGCAAGTGACCGTACAATTTCCAAAAATTCAATTTCATAAACTGGTGGTCTACTCACTAGTAATTTAAGTAGCATGCTTGACTCCAAAACGTACTTTAAAACATATTTATTCCTGACAGGAAGGTTTAAACAACTACCTCCCATGCTTAAATTTTTTATCTAAAAAGGAAATTGTAAGCAAAAAGGGAAATTTTGTTTACAGATTTAAAAAGTGCTAATTAAAGTAGAGCCCAGCCTAAAATCATGAGACAGATTTTTTACTTATTCCCTTTCATAAAAAACGTCACGCAATATTGAGCGCTTTTTTAAAAAGAAGTTTTTTTCATAGATAGCTTTTTGTTCAAAAACAATAAAGATTTAAAATGTTAACTGAGCTTTTTTGATGGAAGTAATAAAAGCGTGATCGTTTTTCCAAGAAGAAATAGCAAAAAACATCGTCTTTTTTTATCAGCCCCCCAAACAAAAGCAGGCCAGGTTGCTTATTTCGCGCAAGAAATAACCTCCAAATTGCCTCAAAACTGGGAAAAAATTTCCTTTTTGCTCAAAATATTGGGCACCATCCTCGTCTTACGAAGGCGAGCGTACAGGGCAGACCAGCCCTTGGACAAACACTTCATCTGTCAGTCTGAGAGGGGCTAAAAACATGCCCCTTTATCTTCCCCTTTTTGGTTCCCCCCTTGTATCTGCCACTGCCTTGGTGATACAGGACGCCTAGTTTGCCGAGTTAATTGATGCGTCTGGAATTGAGAAAAAGGGTGAAAAGAAGTTCGCTCTCAGATGTAATTTATTCAACGACTAGTTGTTAGAACTGGACGTCTCCCATTTTGGCGCCGAATGTCCGAACTTTTGTCAGGAAAGGGCGACAAATAGATGTAAGAGTTTTTATGATAATAGTAAAAATGTGGGAAAACTCGTTGTTCCTCTCTTCCACCTCCGATTTCGGAGCCCGGATTCTAGAACACTGGCTGGCCGACGATATCATGTATTTGTGAATAGGAAATGGGGGAGAATGGGGATGAGATCGGTGGCAATCGCCACCTTGCAGAATCAAGGACATCCATCCACCCAGGCGGTTAACAGACACGAAATGTAAAATAACTTTCTAAAATAGACGGTAAAGTTGTCAGAGATCCAAATGACAGCTTCATTACTTGTCAATGTCAATCACCACTTATTGTCTCTACAACGGAAATGTAGGAGGCTCATTCAAGCCACCCATATATATGGCAACATAAAATGGATTTTGCTCATCTTTGAGACCTTTGAAATAAAAAAAGGCTTTTCCTTTCTTGTTTTAAAAGTGCAAAAATGTTAATTCTTAGCAGAAGTCAAGTATTTAAAACAAAGAACCCGACTAATCATCCATTTAAAAGATTTATTCCGATTTGTTTCCTTAAAATCTTACTAATTAGGAAAAGTTTCGAATAAAAAAGAGTTTTTAACTGTTTTTTATTGATATTTGTAAATTTAAGAATTTCAAGTCAGTATCTTTGCATCGAACTGGGGAGATGAGATTCCCGCTTTTGGTCGTCCTTCCCACCCCGCCTCCGCCAAAAGTCGCCCAACAAAAACAGCGAATTTGCTTGCTTTAAAGTTGAAAAAACTAACCAGCAACATCCATCTCCTGTGCTGCGAGGCTTTTTGACATGTTCTGAGGCGCAGTTTTTGCTGCTCTCTCATAGCACGAAGTAATATTTTTGTGGCTGAAGCCACTTCAAGCCGTTTAAGCATGAGGACTGTGGGATATCCCATGCAGCTGGAGTGGTTTCTCCCACCCTCTCTTGTGTGGGAAAAAAGCACTTTGTATCTTTTTTGGCAGTCCTGCCTATAGTGAAGTAGGTGGACCGTGGAGAGGTCCACTTCCGCTGCCAACTTTCGTGAAGAGTTACTTCCGTACCTCTCCACCTGCCAGGCACAACTTATGCTCCACGCTTTCTCTCTCGGCCCTAAAATATGTCCACGTAGGGGTCCATTTTGAGGGTTGTTTTGTTGTTTTCTGGGTCAAAATCACATTAAAATATCATTTAATCTGCTCCCAAATTAAGCACATTTCATCTGTTAAATCGTGAGCTATAAAAACGCAGAAATGGCTATGTTAGATTTGATAGTGAAGTCAAAATTGCGGATTTCTTGCCCCTATTTGGTCTTTTTCGGGGGAAATAGACAGACCGGAAAGAAGGGGAACGTGGCCCAAAGTGGCGAGAACGTTCATTTATGGCTATTAATAATGCTTGATCACTTGGCTTGACGAGGGCCTCCCGGGCTAAGTGATTGCCCTTCGGCTTCCATTTGAACTGCTCCTGTCGCACAAGATAAACACAACATCCCCTAATTAGTGAGCTTCTTTGAGAGAGCGCTACTGCTGTCCTAATCAGTAGTATATTACCCCTAGTGTATAAATGTGAAGGGAAGAGGGAAAACAGGCCAAATTTATGGAGTAGTCAGTAGTCTTGAAAAAAAGCAAGTTATTTTGAAAAAATTTTTATTTTTCCCATCTCCTTACTCGTTAAGCTCAAAAAGAAGACCTTTTTAAACGCAAAATGGCTCTTTTACGGCAAACATTTTATCGCCTGCGACTTATAAAAGTGGGACGAGTGATAAAATTAGACGGTAGTTAAGAGTCCTTCCTAATTATAGGCCTGTTCGTAGGAACCCCTACAACAAGTGTAGGTTATAACGCACCGAGGAGAGGGGACGCAAAGGGGCAATCTCATTCCCCTACTATCTAGACGCGTAGTCAATAAGGCGACACTTTAAAGCACCCAGATAAAGGGAAATTTTCCTTTCTTTTCAGTGCTATACATGAGAAGTATATGAAGAAGGCAAATCTATGCCTCTACGCGTGTCGATAATTGGGCGATGGGGAGTAGAAGGGAATATCTGGAAGGAAAATTAAGGGATAAAATAGTATTCCTCTTATTATCTTTTCCTTGACATGATATTTTCCTCTCTGCTTGTACACCATTCGAGTATTTAGTGTTGTGCACCATCACCGCGAACTGTGTGTGTCTTGCCATGGAGGTCCACCTACCCAACAATGATCGCCGACCCATCTCCACAAGAATGGTGAGGAGCTCCTTCCATGTCTGGTTCCGCCTTTCCTTTTTCTCTAATCTCATAATGGAGATAAAGAAGGAAAAATAAGAGAAAAATCCCTTTTTTTCTTTAAAAACCATGATTACGAGACATTCGATAATTGTGGGCTTATAGATTGTAAAAAAGACTAAGCCACCCTCTTAGCAACTGACCTCTTGTTCGTTTATCTATTATGTTTGGTTTTCCCATTTTTTAAAATTAAAACGAGATTTTCCGTTTTTGCAATTTTGTAGTCTCAAATAAAGCCGTAAAGAAGTCGTGTTACCGAGTAAATTGCAAAGTTATCTGCATCAACCAAATTTAGAGAGTGATAACGCCTGGCGGAAATCGCACCTCGTCTCTGTCCTCCCATTGGCTGGTAATTAAAATCAAGCCTAGTTGCCTTCATGCAAATTTAAACAATACGCTGGCACTGCCTTCCCTCCTCTCGGCGTACTCTCAACTGATAAATATGAATGTTTATTGCCCACTCGACTGTGCACCAGCAAAGCATCGGTGGTGCCTTTTTTGACCCACCCCCTCCCGCCACCGCACCACCTCAGGCCCCACCCCACCTGATTTGTAAAATGCCCCTAAAATATGCTGAGCAGGAAGGATAAAAAGGAGGAAATTAATTTGTCACTCCACTTTTTATAACATGGGCTTGGCAATGGGGATACATCGCGGGCAGGCGGATGGAGACACCTAAATAGGCACCGACAGATTTGCGGTTTGCCGCCGGCACAGTGAAATGGATGAGAATTGTAGCCTGTTCAAAGGGCTGTGCCTTTGCCGCCGTAACCCGCCTAATCCCACTTCATTCCCCTCTACTCCTTTTTTTTTAAATATCGATGTGTTAAACCTCGTTTAACAAGTTTTTGACATTTCGATAGCCTAGTGATGAAATTCGCCATGCTTTATCACAAAAAGCTGCTAATTTTGGAGTCAGAAGCACTTTTGCTGATAAATATAGCGTCACGAGTCTTCCCATCACCCTAATAATGAAAGAATATCCATCTTACAAAACTTATAAGCAGCATACTGAAGGGTTTCCCGAATGGTTCGAAGACTAAGAGGTCATCCTGCGGAGTGAAAGTACATCATCCTGGATCCAAGCCACGTCATGCCTCCTCAAGAACAAGCCGAGGGGAGACGATGCCACTTGATAACGTCAAGAATTAGCAACACGTATATGCGACCCTCCGGTTTTCAACCTCAACACGGTTCCACACTCAATGAATAGCAAAAAACAACGAAAAATAATTTTTCCTTTTTTTGCGGCAAAATAACATTTGCCACACGTTTAGTGTGGGAGACACATATGCGTGATGCCCCGCATTTCCCAAATCACTGTTGTTTTTTTTGAATTTAACAAGATTTTTTTGTAAAATTTGAAAACAAAGTTAAAAATAGTTTGCTTTTTTTCAAATAAAGTCGAGTTTTTAACTCGATTGCATTTACCGACATGTATATGTGACGCACCAGTTTTCTTAACTCATCCCAGTTGTTCTCAAATTAACAAACAGGTTTTGCAAAATATTTGCAAAAACCAAACAAATTATCTCGCTCTTTACGGTAAAGCAAAGTTTTGGTGTTTGACAAGAGCGTCACGCGCAAGTGACGCGCTGATTTTCCCCATAATCCACAGCTTAAATTTTCCTTTTTTGCCACTTTGTAACGAACGTGGACATCAGGGCCGTCTTAAAAACAGATTATTTGGCCTGAAAGGAATAAAGTAGGTGTGGGACGTCCTCAATCTGTTGGGAGATAATTGTGTGGCAGGCTTAAATCCTCATCAGCAGTTGAGCCGTTTGTTACACTGTCCCAATAGAGAGGAGAGCAATATAATAACTTCTCGACCAGAGATAAAATACATTCGTAGGTCTATTTAATTTGGTAAAAGATTTCCGGACACTTTTTGGCCCCTTTTGAAAGATAAACCATCTGGGGTGTGGTGGCCGACCCTCCGCTAAGAGAATCCCCACTGGCCTCTTTTAAAATGACGGAAAGGGAGGAATAAATCAGTTATCAGAAATATATAAGGCTTATTTACCTTTCCCTCTTTTTGTATTTTAGGAATTCCTTGAAAATTATTTCCTAGGAATTTTTACATTTGAGGCAATTCTGAAGATAGTAGCTCTTGGATTTGTATTACAACCCGGGGCCTATCTGCGCAATGTCTGGAACCTCCTCGATTTCACCGTCGTCATCACCGGGTAGGCCTCACTGGCCAGTGGACCGGATAGAAGAAAATAAATAAAGAACTAGATGCCGCTAGCAATTTTAAAATCAGGCTAAAGATATCCACCTTTTTACCGACTAGTTTTCACAGATTTATCTATTGAGTAGATAGAAAAGTCTTTTTTGCTTGCTTTTTCGCCATTTTCTCGTACTTTTTCCTCTGCTTCAAAATAGCTACATCACAGTGTTTGCTCAAACAGGAACAGGAATTGACCTACGAACACTCAGAGCCGTTCGCGTTTTACGACCGCTCAAACTGGTTTCCGGAATACCCAGTAAGGCTGTAGTGCCCCCTTTCCAGCCGCCAACCCCACCTTTCCTACCCCATTCCCACCCTTCAATCACAAGCGTCACGTACTCCAATTGATAATTGAGTGGGTACTGCGTTTTTGCCCCTCTAGGCTCTCGCAAGCGGTGTTTCACCTATTTCACCCCCATATGTCCTTCATTTGACATGACTTGACCTGTTGTCAATGTGGACACTCCCTACACAGAAGGATTTGTGTGACTCCCCGACCGTCGCAGAAATTTTTCCACGAAAGACCTTTGGATGGGCGGCGGGGTGATGGATGTCACCTCACCTCGTCCCCACGATGACTGTAGCCCCTCGTGATACAACTCCAAGTGCTGGCGAACAGTCCTTTTGTCAGCAGTACTAAACAATCACCTGTCACCCATAGAGTACCAAAAAGCGGTACACTTTTTCTTGTCTCCTTCTAGAGAAAAAAAAGGCTAGAAAAGTCTAATTAACAGGCAAATTACAAAAGGTGGTGCAAATTTTTTCCGTAGTCTAATATTAACTTGATTTTTTAGCCTAAAAGGGTCACCTTTTTTGAAAAACTTCGTAGTTGGTAAGATATGGAAAAAAAACCTCATTTGATAAAAAACCCGGAAAAATAGAGAAAAACACCTCGATATATTACCAGAAATATGGTCAGGTCTAATTGTTGGGTGTGATTTGCTCCTACCGGGCGTCTCTTATTTTCGGGTTTGACTTCACGAAAAATGCTTCTCCAAAAAGGCAAACTTTTAAAATTTTAGCACCTTTTTAGAAGGAAAAACACTACTTTTTGTTCTTAGATCTACTCCATGGATCCTTCTGAAGATCTATTTGTGAGACGTACGCCCTCCCAAAATGATCGTTCTCTTCTATCAAACTTTGCCCCAAAATTTCCTATTTAAGCAGAAAAACAATATTAGATCGGCAATTTGACAAGTTAAAAATATTTTTTAGGCCTTCAAGTTGTCCTCAAGTCCCTCATCAAGGCAATGGCGCCCCTCCTGCAAATAGGTCTTCTGGTCCTCTTTGGAATAGTCGTTCTAGCGATCGTGGGGTTGGAGTTCTACGGTGGCGGATTCCATCTAACCTGTTTCGATGAACGTGAGTTCACAACTCGACTTGCAGCTCTCTCGCCATTTGTCCATAAGCCGAGACTGAGGAAAATGTAAGAAGTTGATGATCTCTTACACCTGGTTGTCGCCTCCACACAACTAGATGTTGAATTAATGGCCAGTGCTACCATTAATTGCCACTGAAGCCGAATAGTAAGGATTATTTGGAGAACAGAGAGGAAGGACCACGCATAAAAACTCTGTTGGAATAATATGGAAATCTCCACAATTTAGTTCAATCGCTTAGTCATCAAAGGACTAGATTAAAAAAACCCTGTGACTCGTTTTACTTCCTTTCCAGGGAATCCTCAAGAATTGCCCAATTCCATCCCCACTGTTGCCCGCTTAGTGCCCTGTGTGATCACCAATGACTCACACACCCATGGAAAAGGTGTTCCACCCGGTGCCTTTGTCTGTCCCGCCGGCTATGTCTGCAAAGGCTACTGGGAGGGTCCCAATTATGGCATCACCAGCTTCGACAACATCGGCTACTCCATGCTCACCGTCTTTCAATGCATCACCATGGAAGGCTGGACGGATATCATGTCGTCGGTAAATGTTTCCACCTTCCTTTTAAATTGGGAAGATCGGATAATTTGGAGTCTGAGTCTTCCTCGCCCTCTTCTCCCTTCCCCCACCCCCTAATCGTGGCAGATATTCATTTATCTTAGCGGAAAAGCCCCTCTCCTCTTCGCCATTTACACCGCCTACAGGCTTCGACAAGCCTCGCTTGATGCTATCAAATGGGCCAAACAGGAAGCTACTTAACTGACAGGCCATAATCCCCAAGGCACTGTTGGAGTGGGGATCAAATTAATTGGCATAAATTATGCATAAGTAAAACAACGTTGGATTATTCTTCTTAATTCATTTCTCTCCTCTTTTAAAAACGTACAAGTAATTCGTAGCATCCTGTGATAGAAAAAAGGGGGCACATTTCACTTTTTAAAGGGAAAGAAGCCAACCCGCCTCCCCGTTCCCACAACTCCGTGCTCCATCGCCTCGGGGAGGACTGTACAATGTAAGGAAGTAGTAAGAGGGCGGGAAAGTACATGAAGGGAAACGGAGGCACCTGCGCGAAATCTCATAAGCTCGTGACTTGTGGGAACGTCATCCAGTGCGGGTGTTATGGCACAGGCTAGACACTCTCCGACTGAGGTGGTGCGATGCCTCAAAAAAGGTCAGAATGGGACCATGAGGGGACACAAAGGCTTTGGGACAAAAAAGCATTTAAAAATGTATAATTCTATTTATTTGTGAGGAGAAAAGGTGGCTTATTTTAATCCTCTTAACGATCTTCAAAGAGAGAAAGAAAAGGATGGTAACAGAAGCAGCAATTTTTCATGCGCGAGGTGGCAAAATGTATGCCCCCTTGTCAGAAAATATTGTGACTTTTGTGGTCTAGCAAAAAAAAAACTGTCAGTTTGGGCAAGAAAAATGTGTTCTGTTAAAGGCTAAAGTTACCCCAACCCAAAGATGCTCTGCACTCGAATGCTTTTCCCATTTGCTTATTTGAGAGACGAATTTGCCTCTAGTGGACTTGTCCCAATTCTACTCCAGACGTCTAGTCGACTGCGGCCATGACCTTAAGGCATGAGGATAGACGCCAGGACTTGACTTAAGGTGAGAGGGGAAGCAGATTACGTAGTCGTGCATCAGTGGGCACCTGACAATTACGGACGCAATCGCGGAATCTGAGATTTTATGAGGGACTTATTTATTTTCCCATCTCCATCCCTGCGCTGCTCCGCATTCTCCTCTTCCAAACTCTTACAGACGGACTTTGCCTTCGGAAATCGCTTCAACTTCTACTACTTCCTCACCCTCATTGTGGTCGGATCATTCTTCATGCTCAATCTCGTCCTCGGTGTGCTGAGTGGGTAAGCAGTTCTCCGGAGGCTTCTTTTGCTTGAAAAAGTATCCTTTCCTTCATCCTTTTTCTCCTCCCTCCCTAAAGAAAGTTCAAGGTATCCTTTTGTTTATTTTTCAACACCTCAAACACATTAGAGGTAGAATTGAATTTAGGGGGTGAGGTGATTCCCCCACAAATTGTAACACCGTAAAGGGAAACCTGGGCTTGACTCCCACTTACGTGGAAAAGGGGCAGCGGAGAGGCAGAGCTGGTGAGAGGAGGTGGGGCGAAAAGTTCCCTCCAGCAGGGTGGACTAGTCATTTGCCGGTGCCACGGAAAAGAGATTACCTAAGTCAAAGTTTAAACAGACAAAAAAGGAAAGAAACAATTAGCCGAACAGAAGAGAATCCCTTTGAGTAGAAATGTTGTATGGTCGAATGAAGGGAACTTTATCTTGAACGTCCATGCAATTTGCCTATTTTTACCCAAAAAAGTAGACCCTTTACCTTTTAAATCAGCCGCATATATTTTTGAAAAAGGTGGGTATATGAGGTAAAAATATTTAGAAAAGATGTTTAGTGACCTATTCATACGGTACAAGTGAAACTTGACTCAGAAGGCGCATTTTCTGTCACCTCGGTATCTCCTCAACCTTCCCACCCAGTGAACGCTCTCCACCCACCTTGAGAGGAGGCCTCCTCCAGCTGAAAATCCTTCTCTTTTTCTAAGAAGGGGATAAAGCAGGTGGCAAAATCAGTTAATCCACTTGGTTCTCGGTTATGCCCCAAAACGGCTTTCAAGTGGAGGGGCCTAATTGTTCTCGTCAACCTCTCACTCCTTTCCTTTTTAGTAGAAACGCTGCCACCCAGTTGGTGATATTCTGGTTGCAGCCTATGACAATTTTGACGACTTGTATGACATTGGAAAGGGAGGAGGGTTGGAGAGGAAGGCATTCATTCATAGCTGTGGTAGGGAATGAAGAAGCCTCCAGCCTTGGTGGTCAGATTTCCCAATGCTACATTTGGAGGGGGAAGTATCAAACTGAGGATTTACGAAAGCTTATCTTTAACTTTTTCGGCCTGCCTGAGGAGAAACGGTTGTTTTACTTCTTAAGGCTTCTAAAAATTTTGACATATTTCCAGTACTCTTTAAAAAAGAAGGACACTGCATAAATTTTTCTTCCTAAGTCGAACCAAAAAAGAGCCAAATTCCTAAAAATTTTCAATCCTTCCCAATTTATTGTTAAAAAAGAAAAGGAGGCAGCCAACAGAAAAGACTAGCTGACATTTAGGGATGTAACTGTTAAATCACTGGTAGAAATGGTGGGAAAGGTGGTCTTCCCTTTTCAGTGGACAAATTAACATCGACACTTCTAAACTGAGACTTTTTTCATAAAAGTGGTAAAAAGTAACAAAAAACTTGACAAAACTTTAACTTATTTTATTTTTTGTTCTTGTTAAGAATAATTAATAAAAGAAAATTGTAAGGAATGAAGCTTGCTAGCTTAATGGGAAACTGACCTACCTACGAGTTCGGAGGAGCGTTTTCCACGGCGCCCTCTCTGTCCTACCCTCACAATCCCTTTCCCCCCACACCTTTCATCTTCTTCGACCATCATGAACCGCTCCATAATTGTTCATCAGGTAAAAAGGGACAGGAGAAGTGGCTTACCATCATTGAAAAAAAGTTTTTTTGTCTGTGAGAAGGATCCATGGATGGTACGGTGAGGCAGAGATCCATTTTGAAGGCACAATAAAAGACTGGGAGATGTTTAGTGAGCAAACTAGTAAGCTGTGCCCCAAAGAGATGCTTGTTTTAGCACACCAGGGCTTACTAAGGATTAGACTTACCTTTGGGGATCAAAGGACGCTTTTGATGACACTCACCGTAAAGCCTCACTTTATTTGGGAATTCTGAACCCCCCTATCTCTTCCAAGACGGGTGATAACAAGTTGAGATTTCTTTAAGGAGGCAGTTTAGGCGACTGGAAGGTGCTTTTTGGCAAGATTGCGAAGATTACCTCAAAGAGCGTGATTGAGAAATATCAGGGCGGCTTTGATGAACTTTTTGGCAAATATTTCTCCCAGATTCATTTAGACACCGAGTTTTTATTAATCCCAACTCTTTCCTTTCTTTTTCACCTGCTGACGGTACGCAAGGGATGAGGCGTTGATATCCACACGTAATAACCGGTGCCTGATGAACTAATCCATTGGAAACCGAGAGCAAAGACAAAAAAGGTGTTATTTTAAATTAACAAACCAAAGCGAGAAATAATTCACTTGAATCGAACGTCTTTAAAAAAAAACTGCCGAAGTTCATTTTCAAAAGAAAAGACGAATGAATAGCCACCCCCCATCTTTTGGATTCAAAACTCCCCTGGATATTTGTCCGTGTAATTTAAACAAAGACAGCCTGTTTAAACAAAGTGTAACACTATTGATTCACCATTTTTTTCTTCAGAATTTCTTTGTATCTTATAGAGAATTTGCCAAGGAGAGAGAGAGGGTGGAGAAACGACGAGCCTTTCTTAAGCTGCGGCGACAGCAACAAACCGAACGCGAGTTGGACGGCTACATAGAGTGGATCCACAAAGCAGGTAGGGTGGTCCGGAAAGTAGAAAAAAATTAACCGCTTACTGCCAAAATAAATAAACAAGAGAAACTGGCAAATCATGTTGATATTTTTGCCTGCTTAACTAACTCGGAGTGAGAAATGAATAAAATTGACAGTTGTTTTTTTTTAAACAGGGGTTAACTTATTTGGCTGCAAGTGTACGTTTATTTGGTGGAGTAAAACAGTCTTACAACTCTCGTTTTGTAGAGGAAGTTATCTTGGCGGAAGAACAGACTACGATGGCGGAAAAGTTACGAATTCTGCAAGGTAAGCAGTGGCCTCACATCTCCCCACCTAGCCTCCTCAATGACGATGGAATTCGGGGAAGGGTTCGGAAAAAACTTTGTCACCTGTCAATTTTCTATTTCTATCGTGGTCAAAGGCACCATGAAAAGGGGTTCCGATATTTTCTCTCTAATCTTCTCCTGAAGTGGCTTGCAACAGTGGTGGTTTGTGATATGTAGAGCCTGACAAAACGAAAGTCACTAGTCAGACGGTTGCGTAATGCATGGAAAGGACTGGCGACTGTTGTTTAGTGCCGTCTCGGCCATTCTCCCTCTTGACATAAAAGTACTTCATGGGTGTAATTTGAGGCGAGGCGTCAAGGTCATTGGTTAACACTGGGGCTTTGCTTACGTGGACATGAAAGAGGGAGTTAAGTGAAAGTTGCTAAGCAAAGGCTTGTCAACCATGCTATACAATGATAACGAGTGACACTAAACGTCAAAGAATGCAATTTTTTGTCGTTTTATGAATGCGCCATTTCAGATAGTTACAGTGTGAGGAAAAAGGCGGCGTATTGTAGGGCAAAGTTAAATGAGGGAGTTTATGTCGCCATAATATGATTCCCCCCCCCCCCCCTCTGCGGCAGGATTGGTCCCCTTGAGAAACATCCACGAGACCGCAAAAGAAGGAGAGGGGCGGGGTGGGACTTTAACCCCTTCCAGCTTCGTCCTTTATGCTACAAATTATTGTCGCCGATTTTTTGGCACTTGGCGGTCAGTGGAGGGAGAGCGCTAGATTTCCGCCTGGGAAAATCCATCACCATACGTGTAGATGGGAGAGAGGAAGGCAAAGCGGACAACACTGTCTCACGTTTACTCCTATCTTCTATAATCCATGTATAATCAGTGCCTATTTATGCCATTCAACGGGTGATGACATGCGAAGCAGAACAGGCATTTTTGAATTAGAAAAGGGGCCTGGTCTCTGGAGAGGAAAAGATTTGCTTTCCCTAGAAGCGTAATTCTTGAGGGAGGTCCTGGCTGCCCCGGAGGCAGTAATGGCAAGATGTGCTGCTGGTTTGACGCCGCCGTTTCCTGCGCGACATAATTTGCCCCCATTGGACATAGGAACTCAAAAATAAGCCAATTTTCTCCCTTTTAAATATGCTTCACTTTTGGAGGAGTGTAATTTCCTCTAATGAAATCAAATGTTTTCTACTTAAGGATAAGCTTTTTTGGGTGTTCACCTTGCTTTCAGCTAGGCGGCGAGCCAAAAAGGAAAGCAAGAATGGAAGGTCCTTCCCTGAACAAGATTACGAAGGTTTGGGTAAGGAAAATTCTTATTCATTTCTCCTCTTTCCTCCCTTCTTTGTTCCTTTTACGCCATTTACTTGTTTAGAGTTCAGGGGAAAAGGCAATCCTCCCAACTCTACCCTCAATAAAATTTGCAGCCAATTTTGAGATTAAAAAATAAATTTTTATCATTAATTAATCTACCGGGAAATGCAGCACACTTTTTTCGCTTCCGTTTTAAACTTGTCCCATTTAGATTTGGGTGATAAGCGGCGTTTTGCGGCAATGAGGTCGGGAACCTGTTGTCGTCTGTTAAAACGCATCAGGTAGGCGGGATTTCTGCACTCCGATTTGCTTTCGCCTTTTTCGGCGCGAAAATACACGCGCTTTAATGAGTGTACTAAATTATCTTGAACCCGATTAGCTGGAAGTCATGAACCAATCAAAAAGACGGATTAGATGTGTTAAACTAGCACATTTTATCCAAAAAATTGTATTTTGTGCACGGAAAGTAGAAAAAAATTCGTTACATTTAAATAAGGAAGCAGGGGCCTTTTACATTTAATATTTATGGAAGGCCAAAATGGAAATCTAAACTATTATTTCGCTTCAAAATTCAAAACCAAAAATTCGGATGTTAAATAATATTTATAATTTTCTACAGATGCGTATTAAATGTTCTGGTATTCCTTTTTTTTGCTCTTTTTCTCCCCAAAAAAGGTGCAGATGTCGCCTGTCGATAAAATCGCAAGCCTTCTATCTCGTCGTGCTGGTGGTGGTGTTTCTCAACGCCATTTGCGTCGCAATTGAACACTACGGCCAGCCCGCCTGGCTTAGCGACTTCCTGCGTAGGTCTCGTTCCCCTCTCCCTTTGACGTCACATATATGTGACGCTCAGATTTTCATCCACACCCTGCCGCCGTCCGATTGGTAGGGCAGGATACATCCACGGTGATGTAAATGGTTTCTAATTCGGAAAAAATGTGGTTTTTATTTACCGATTTACTTAGGAGTTGGCGATATCCCATCTGATCCGTTGCGGTGGATTAGGCTGTGACAACCGCCGCTCCCTTTGTACTTGGTTAATCGGTTTTTGCCTTGTGTGCACTAATTTATTCCTTTCTAACATTGTGGCTGAAAAACCGAATGTTTCTACCACCAGACCTTGCAGAGTTTGTATTCCTGGGCTTATTCCTCACCGAGATGCTCCTCAAGATATTCGCCCTCGGTCCATTCCTCTACTTCCAGTCATCTTTCAACATCTTTGACTGCGTGGTAAGCCACTTCCCCAAACTGCTTCTCTAAGTCTTGGAAGCGTCTGCTTTTTCTATCCTCTGGAATAATACATAAGCATGTAATTAGGCACGCCGCCATGCCGATACGACTGCCCAAGGGTCGTTGGATCAACCGGGATTATGAATAATAAATCACTTACCAATAAACATTTATTACCTCCAGGAAGTTCATTAGGTTTTGGTTCTAGGGCTAGTACATACTTTCTCCCACAGATATGTAGAAATTATTTACCAGTAGTAAGAAAGACGGGGGAATCGGTAAGAATTCGACAGCGGATAGGAAGAAAAAGGAGGGTGGTTTGAGAGTTTTCTCCTTCCCTCAAAGAATTGCACCAAAAGTTGTGGAAAATAGGTAGGAGGGCAGGGAAATGGACTACTTAAAGACTACCAGTGCATAATCAGAACCATTTCCTTACTTCTGCTAACCATGTGGCGTCTTGAGGCAACTCGGCGGACATCGTAAGGTTTATTGTTCCCAGACAAAGTCTGGCTGGATATAGACGCTGGTGGAGGAGAGGATGCACCTGACCCATGACAGAGAAATTCAAAAAGTCCACTAGCCATTTTTTCTCCTCCTCCTCCTCCTCCTCCCCCTCCTCTTCTTCTCCACACAAGGTCGTACTGGCGAGCTTCTTTGAAGTCGTCTGGCAGATGTTCTTTCCAACGGACTCCTTCGGATTTTCAGCTCTACGAAGTATTCGTCTATTACGAATTTTCAAATGCACCCGGTAAACTTACGAATCTGTCTTGTTACCTTTTTAAATGAAAAAGTGACGTTATTCACTTATTTTTTGAAATATTTTGCCATTTTTATTGTAGACTACCTTACAGGGAAAATAAAGTACATTTTTTAATAGTCGTATTCTCTCCAAACGCAGCTGATTTTCCCGTAGATATTTTATTTTGGTCACGTTATCTGTATGTATTTTTTTGCTTTTGCCTCCAACTGCCAACTAGACCTGAAAAGGCCTACAAACGTAAATTGACTGCTCCTTCTTACCCGTTTCTATCTAAAAAAAGTTCCTTAGTGTTTAAGGGATCTTTTTAAATTGAAGGCGACTGCTTGTAAAAATCTTGTATTATCCGAGGCGTTGCGACGCCCTCTGGCCAGGTGAAGTACATCTTTCTCCTCCTGCCTCAGGTACTGGGCCTCGCTGAGGAATCTCATGCTATCGCTGCTGAACTCCATGCGCAGCATCGTCAGCCTCCTGTTCCTCCTCTTCCTCTTCATGCTGATATTTGCTCTACTTGGAATGCAGTTGTTTGGTGGAGGGTACGTGCTCCCTTCCTCTTTACCCGTTTCATTGGCGCCTTTTGTTTCGCCCTCCTGGGACCAAGAAAGTGTTCACACGCCCTACTTAATCTTAGTGTGCTGTAAAATAGGCCATACCAGTTAAAAATTTAAAAAAAGACAGTGAAAATGATGCTAGTAAATGTAAGTTTTTTGCATCTCTTAATAGCGTTTTTGCTTAACGGAGACTGCGAGAACTATGCGTACTACTTATAACCTATGTAAGTAGCGCTTAGGATGCAAATGCCTGCAAAAAATTTACTGTCCAAAAAGCGGAGTTTCGCCCAGAAATAGTACGCAGATTTTATAACAATAGGCGAAAATTATCACTAGTGTGTTTATAGCCTGTAAAACACGTGGCAATTTAACCACGTAGATCACAACATAAGGTGACTCTTTGTTTCAAGGACCTACATTAACACGACTCGGAAGACGAGTACTTGCCGTTTGCCTTTCCAGGGGCAAAAAATTAGGCTTATTTTCTCCAAATGACTGCTTTTATGGGACTATAAGACAACTTAAGTTTGTTGATCTGGAAAGGCAAAATTCGCCTTATACCCCATGGCCCGAAAAATGACGAATTTAAAGCCCATTTTTTGTTAAATAAACCCAGAATATATTTGAGTCGAAATTTAGCCGATTAATTGGGGAATTTTTTTTTGCCTTTTCTACAACAAAATTTCTTGCGAAATAATGTCATCGTTACTCGCCGGCCAGGAAAGCTTAACATCTTTTAAGCTGAAAAGAGAGACAAAAATTTAAAATATTTGTGGGAATAAAGGGCAAAAAAAGGAATTTATTTAAATTAGTTTTTTTTGCTGGTTCGCCTTTTATGCCACCTTTTACGTGTTTTTGACCACTAACCTTTTTAAATAATTTAGCTTTGCGTTTGAGGATGGACAGCCGAGTCAACACTTTGACACCTTCGCAAAGGCTCTCCTCACCGTTTTTCAGGTAACAGAATTATTTTTTTTTTTTGTAGTAAAAATTGCGCCAAAACACAGAAGCTGAGTCGACAGAACCTTACCCAAAAAGATTTATTATCTCATGAACTAACAATTTTAAGACGATAAAAAAGGGAAGTTGGAAAAATAATTGGCCTTAAAAATTTTCATGATTTTTTCTAAAAAATAAGCATTTATCAATTGCTAGACTTTAAGTCAGTTCTTTTTTGATGAAAGAATGGGAATAGAATGGAAGAAAGTGGAAAATATGTTTTTAGATTCTTACAGGCGAGGACTGGAACACCATCATGTACAACGGCATCCGCTCGCAGGGCGGCCTCGCCAAAGGCGCCTTCATCTACTCCATCTACTTCGTCCTCCTCATGATCTTCGGCAACTGTATCCTTTTTCCTCTTCCCTTTTAAAGGCTAAAATAGCTTCTTTTTTCATTTATTTCACAAGAAGAGAAAAAAAAATTCTAAAGACAGCGATTGCATTACGTGTTGGTAGCATCGCTTTTCGGGCGGCGCTCCTTTTTCTCCAGCACAACCACTTCCTAAATCTTGTATCGTATAATTTTTAAAAATTATTTAGTAAAAACAGACAAATTTTTTAAATTTTGTTTAATTTTCCTTTTTATGCAGAGCAAACTGTATCACCACGAAGGTGACCACATTTTTCTGTGTTTAGGGTCTCCTAAAAGACATTTCACTTCACTTACCGTTTTACCAGTCACCCTCCACACGCACTCTTGTTCTTGGGTTCAAGCTCAACAATTTCAAAGGAGTCGCTCCTCCTCCTCCCCCTTTTTTTGCCCAAAGGCAGTTGCCACTTTTTTTCAAATTAACTAAAAGTGTCTGCACTCACTCGGTCCCTGCTCCTGGTGTGGTTTGTTACAAAAGTAGCATAAAAGAGAAGAAATCGAGATTTTAGGTTTTTTAAATGACACGCCAGGTTAATTTTCATTTCCTTAAGGATGCGCTCAATTTTACTTGTGGTTTAGAAAGAAACACTTTTAAATAAGAAAAGATCACTTCTCCTACATCATTAGTTTGTCAGCTTGAAACTTTTAGATGGGAAGGAAAGAAAGGGTAAAATTTGTGCCCTACATGTACCGCCAAAATCGATGGAAGAACAGGAAAAGGGGTCCATTTTAACAAAGGTTGCTGCACTGTCAGTTCCACTGCAGTGACTGCAGATTTCGCTTGTGAGACGCTCCGGTTTTTTTCTTTGCTATTGAAAGGGGAGGATCGACCGAGCATGGCCCACGATCCTCATCTTTCCCGTCTCCAGAAATGCAAAAGAAAAAAGAAGCCTATTACAGCGGAACGCCAAGCAAACTCCAATTTGCGGAGTTCTGCACAATTGTGGCCCCTTCCCTCCAACACAGAAGCCCACAAAGTTGTCATTGATATGAATTAGAGGGTTTAAGAGGCAGAAAAGTTGTCTTTATGTCCCCAAGTGACATGCCCTTTTCCTTGACCCCGAATACAAAAAAATTCATAACGCCAGATACGCTTTTGAACGTCTTCTTGGCTATTGCGGTTGATAACTTGGCCAACGCTCAAGAATTGACAGCCGTGGAAGAGGCGGAGAAAAAAATTGCAGAGCAGGTTTGTCCACTCTTGTTTTAATGCGCATGTTTCAATTAATGCTCCACTTTTAAAAGACGCGGCATTTTAGCCTATTTAAACACCTTGAAAGTAGTTGTAGGTCGTATTTGCTTATAAAGGGAAAAATTCCCCCCTGGGGCAATGCGCTATATATTGGTCTTCTGGAAGCAGGACCTATTGAAAGGGCGCAGAAGAAGCTGGGAGGACAACGAGCATGAGGTGAATAGCTCGCGTGGTTAAACACAAAGTTAAAGTAAACAGAAAGGGGAGGAGCATCCAGCTCGTGCACACTTTCATGGTGCTATTAAGGAGAAAAAGCAGGAAATGCTTCTCCGCCTGTTGCAACCTTTGAAAGCGGAGAGCGAGGGAGAGAAAACAGGAACTTTTTCCAGCCTATCCCACGCCTTCACGGCGTGGTCAATGTCGCCTATTTTCCGATGCTTTTTATGCCAAGAAACACTGTTTTAATTTTCTAGAATCGACGCTGACTATGGATTAAACTTGGAGAGCATTTTTACAACCTCTATTGAAAACTTTACCTATTTTTTGCAGCTGATTTTTTACAATCCGATGGCCTAGTGAATTGGATTTATTAAGTCTAGGATGTCGATTGCAACAGGTTTTACTAACTACTAGCGCCGAAAATCTTGCTATAAATTAGAAAAAAATCTTTAAGCATACAAATGCTTAAACATTTTACTTTGGGAGATTTTGCCTCCTCTTTGAATAGAAGAAGGCCAACCAGCTGAAGGAACAGTACTTCCAAATGGGGCTCCTCGCCAACGAGAGTCTTGTCAACTCGGAGAAGGATATGTAAATTTCCTCTTTGCAACTCCTTATTTTTCATTTTGTTTAACTAAAAAAGTGGATATTTGGGAATATTTCTTCCATAAAAATGAAAGTTGTATTAAAACCTGTTGATGGAGGAAGCAGGATATTCATCTGCCCACACCGAAGGTGAAAAGCCCACGCAATTAAAAAGCTCATTAAAACGAGAACCCACTTTGCCACATCATTGTAAATCCAATTTCTCGAGATTCTTTATTTCAGTTCCTTATTTCTTCCCCAAATACAGATCGAATTCCATTGGTCAGAAGTTGGCAAAGCACTACGAAGATCGTAAGTTGGCTGAAGAACTCCTTTTTCTTTTCGCTATTTTATTGCGTAAAAAAAACAACAACAAATTCTTTGTCTCTTCCCCTCCCCTACTTTTCCCCCGCCGCATAAATCCTTGTTTGGCCGCGCTTTTCGGATCAGGCCCTTCCCATCCGAGCTTGTGTACCACGTGGACTGGAAAGTGGACGGCGGTTCCATCCACTTCCCACCTCGTATTCCACGCCGCTACAATCACGTTGATGTGAACATTGGTAGAATTATCTTTTTGTGGTCCTTTAGAGAGATCGCAACCTACCGTGAAGCATGTGGGTTTGAATCTTCCTTAAAATAGGCGACTTCAGGCAAAGCCATGACGGTACTTGGCCCCTCACCCTATCAGTTAAGTCATGACATCCGACCAAAAAGGGTGTTTGGGAAAAGCCTCATCTGTCCGAGTGTATAAGATCTGCAAAATTTTCCGCCAATATCAAATTTCTGCATAAAAATGTTATAGAAGCCTTTCATATTCATTTCAAAGCACTCGAAGGAGAAGTGGTGACGACAAGGTTGGGGAGAGGGAAGATAAAGACGACGGCTGAGAAAACGCAAGTCATGGACATTAATGACACAGGAAAGGAGCCAAGAAACCTCTGGATCTCACTCAAATGAGTTTATTCCTTACTTTTCCTAGAAGGGCGCCACTTTTCTTGCCTTACTTGATGACTGACCTGTATTTTACCACCTTCTCTTGAAAGGGTAAACCCTTCAGATAGAATTATTCTCGACTACTTCCTTATCCACTGAACGTCCAGCTTTCACGATCGAGATATCCAGTCGCTTCCACAAAACAAGAACTTACCCATGAAAATGTTTCAAATTTCCCTTCCTCTGGGGGTAAGGGCATGGGGAAGGGAGGTTGGTCGGTTGGAGAAGATACCTTCTCGTCCTAATCCGCCTTATTCTCCATGTTATTTGGCAAACCTTCATCAGCAAAGTTAAATAAACGCCTGAGAGTCCAACCCACTGAAGTAGGGAAGTGGAAGGGTAGACAGAGAGCTTAGGCGCTTTGTCTATCGCCTAGAGACAACTTTAAAGCAGGCGACGTTTGCACGCCAAGATTGTGGCGACTGTTGTTTCACCAAATCAAATATTTAAACCAAGTTTTTACATTTGCAAAAGACAATGACGTCTTTGTATCCTGACGCGTATGCGTAAGTGCGTGGGGAGGAGGCAAAAGAGGACTCCGCGTGCACGTACACGACAGCTTGTGGATAGTGGAGCATGCCGGGAGGCGAAGGTGCTCTCCATTTGTACTCATAGCGATTGGAGGGCACAACATTTCAGAAACGGCCGACAGTTGCCTGATGAATTTTTTTTTGAAGCGCAAATATCCAAAAATACTTATTTGTAGCGTTTGTTTGATTCTTGGAGGTTTGGAGCTTGCCTCCTCTAAGATGTAAATTTAAATGGGCGCTCCAAAGTTGCCAAAGCTCCGTTGTAGAGCATTTGAAGAACACGAGAAGAAGCGCAGTGATGGGATACCCCGTTCCGAAGTAGTCTAGAGAGTGGGATCTACGTAGTGATTCAGTCAGAGGTGGAGAAAATAAGTTTAAAAAGACCTTATTTTCTTGAAAATCCCCCATTTCCCAAAGCATAACTTTTTCGGCAATAGCATATATCCTCTCCAACTGTGATCCCTAATTTACGGCTAGGTCTCCTACACGAAACAGCCAAAAGTGGTCAATCGACCAGGTCTTGACATCCTTGTAAGACAAATCTTGACCCTCCACCAACTTGGCCCACGAGATCTCACACCCCACTTTGGGATGAGAAAGACACTGATCCTTCCTTCGTATGATTATCCGTATTTCTCTGAGAGGTATTGCTTTACGTTCCATGTGTGTATCAATTTTTTTTTGATAAGGGGCAGACAATCACAGTCGGGAAACGAGGTTTTGCCTTGGCTTCTAAAAACAAAGCTCTGCTGTATCACCTTGAAAAAGGACACCACATCACCCAGTGTTGGTCGCTCTAGGGAATTATTTTAAATTGCTACTCACCATTTTCTCTCACCCTCTCAACTAGCTGATCTTCTGCCCGGACATATTGGTTCCTCTATGCAACCAAGTTGGGGTCGCTAATAAATTGAATTACAAATGGGTGGAAAAAAAGGGGAAATATGAGGTATCAAGACAAGCTTCTCTCTCTTTCCATTTCCTTTTTTCCTCAAGTATCCGCACACGGAGATGAAGATGGAAAGAGCACTTCCAGTGAATTTTCGAAAGCTGATGTGGGCAAGACCATCCTGCCCTACAGTTCAATGTACATTTTTTCACCCTCCAATCCGTGAGTCGGCTTGACAAATAAACATGTGAACATTTTTCTCCTTGGCTCTCTACAGCACTGGCTACACGCTGTATTCCATGCCTTTTGCAGCATTCGGCGGTTCTGTCACTTTGTGGTGAATCTACGATACTTTGACCTCTTCATCATGATCGTCATCGCTTCGAGTAGCATATCCATGGCGGCAGAAGATCCAGTGGATGAAAAAAATCCACGAAATATTATCCTGGAGTACTTTGATCATGCCTTTACCTGTGTCTTCACCATGGAGATGATATTGAAGGCAAGCTGTTGCACCTTTTGCAAAAGCTTAATGATTCTTTGCAAGTACATAAAAACCTAGTCCCACGCCATCGATGACTAGATATCAACATATTTTACAGGAAATATAACTATTGAAGTCTAAAACTTACTCCCGTCTCCTTATGCTTCAGCTGATTGATTTGGGCGTATTCCTACATCCCCACTCGTACTTCCGTGATCCGTGGAATGTCCTCGATGCAGTTGTTGTTCTAGGTGCCCTTATAGCCTTTTTCAAGTACGACTTCATCTGAAAAATGCTCCATGCCTTACAAGAACTATTAAAAATTTAAAAATTCCTATTTTAAATTAATTTTAGACGTCAAACAGACAGTAGTGGTGTCAGTCGTAATGCAGCCGGGTATGCGTTTAGTAGCACTCTTTATACTTATAATCAATCAGTAGTAATATTCGCCCACTCTTAGCAAAAATTTGGGAACTATCAAATCTCTACGCGTTCTGCGGGTGCTGCGTCCACTGAAAACAATTCGACGGGTTCCAAAGTTGAAGGTTTTTCTCCCTTCTTGAAAAAACGATAAACCTAACGAATTTTGACAATCTAGGCAGTCTTTGACTGTGTTGTCAGTTCACTAAAGAATGTCTTCAACATCCTCATTGTCTACATCCTCTTTCAACTCATCTTCGGTGTGGTGGCTGTTCAACTGTTTCAGGGGAAATTCTTTGCTTGCAATGATCAATCCAAGAAGACACGTGAGGAATGTCAGTAAGTAAATCTCCTTGACTGATTAAAAAGCGCTAAATTTTTTGGGGTTTTGTTTTTGACGCGGATAGACGACATTGACGAAGGTGGAGAGGCCACTGCTCTGGGTACGTTCTTTATCTTGGTAGCTTCAACAGCCACATTTTACCTGTCAACGCGCCTGAAAGTTAATGGGTGTTCCGATCTGATTCACTCGGTTGCATGAGGCTCCAAGGAGATGAGGAGGTTGCTGCGTGCCTTAGTGGGCAGGGCGGATAGACGACTGAAAGAAAACAAAACAAACTATAAGCGGATGAGAGAGAAAGTAAGGGAGAAAATGGGCAAGATAGAAAGTGCGAAGAGCACAGAGGGGAGGAATAAAGGGAAGGGTGGACCATAGATATCGAGAATTCTCAGTTAGTTGCCCAGAAAGTCCACTCGTCCTCGACTACACACGTTACTGCTCCATCACGCTGCTTCTTTTTTTTAAATCCTCAGGGAATGATTTATTCGTTTCCCTTGTTAGTTCAGTGGCCTTTTTTGATCGTCAAACTAGGGGCTACTTCATCTCCTTCGAGAATTCTGACATACCAGAGGTGAGGCCACGAATTTGGTCCGCTAGGGCGTTCAACTACGACAACATTGGCTACGCCATGCTCACTCTCTTTACCGTCACCACTGGAGAAGGTTGGCCAGAGTAAGTTTTAGCTTTTCATCACCCTTTGTTTTAATGCACCCACGGGGGGTCCAAAAGCGAACTGCGTGATTTTTCACCTTCTCGGCCAAACATCCTTTCATGATTGTGAAAAGAAGGAAAGTGAGGGATTAAATGTCGAAAATCTTCTCTGCAACGTTGTAAATTGGCACATGTACGAAATGATGAGAGAGCTTGGCACGAACGCCATGAGCCTATGCTGATTTTCATCAGTGAGATTCGTGGACTGTCTTCTCATTATTTTGTTCATTGTTTTCTACTTTGAGCATCATGAAGAATTCAATCGACGCGACTGATGTCAACTACGGACCCAAAGCAGACTACCGTCAACAAGTTGCCATTTTCTATGTCATCTTTTTTGTTGTCTTTCCCTTCTTCTTTGTCAACATCTTCGTCGCTCTGATTATCATCACTTTCAAAGAGCAAGGAGAAAATGAACTTGTCGATCATGAATTGGATAAAAATCAGGTTGGCTATTATTGCCTGCTTTAAAGAAACAGGAGAAAAAAATGCTTTACTTTATTTCCCTCCAGAAACAATGCATTGATTTTGCTATCAACGCCCAGCCACTTTGTCGCTACATGCCGGAGGATTCAAAGTCCTTCAAATATCGTATCTGGCAATTGGTTGTATCAGGCCCCTTTGAGTACTTCATAATGATCATGATAGCCCTCAACACGCTCGTCCTCATGATGAAGGCAAGACTTGCAGTCTACTAGGATCAGCTTTTCAGTAGTATTTTTTTTTCAAAATTTTTTCCTCATACTTACGTAGTATCATCGACCGGAAAAGTCACTTCGTTCCACCCTAGAAGCTGATGACAGTACAAAAGCCTATGAGAGTTACTGTGCCTCTTTAATGTATCTCAATACCGCCTTTACTGGGATGTTTACCATTGAGTGCCTTCTCAAAATCTTGGCCTTTGGTCCACGGGTAGGTGATTGGCTGGGATTGCATACCACCTCCTTCAAGAATTACTTTAGAGACCGATGGAACATCTTTGACTTTATCACAGTCATTGGCAGCATCACAGATGTCTTGGTGACAAGTTTGCAGGTAAGGTGACAGGTTTTTGGGGAAATTTTGTGTTTTTTTGTTTCAACTACTCGAGCAATTATCACGCCCTCCTAGGATACGTCTTTTCTGAATTTGGGCTTCCTTCGACTCTTCAGAGCAGCACGGCTGGTAAAGATGCTACGACAAGGCTACACCATACGAATCCTCCTGTGGACATTCATTCAATCCTTCAAGGCTCTACCCTATGTCTGTCTCCTCATTGCCATGCTCTTCTTCATCTATGCCATTGTCGGCATGCAGGCATGTTGACATAACTGATGGGGAGGCTTTTCCTATCGCATAATCATGCCTTAATTTGAGCGACAAGTAGATAGTACAGAGGGTATTGTTATTGATGATGAAGTTCTTACGATTCAGGTCCCTCCGATTGATCATTATCACTCGAGTTGTTTGAATACTGACACGTGATGGGAAACTAACTTACGTGCTCCATTGTTAAGCGAATGATCAATCCACTTCCTCACTTCCACTCCCACACTCTACTTCAACCCCAAAAGACTATGTTCCATTTGTGCATGTGTGTGTATGTGATCGAGGCGTAGACGCAACTTTTTACTAGGAAATGTTTCCTTTCTGAAGGCCGGGATTAAGCCCCCCCCCCCCCCAAAAAAAATTCTAAAGCATTAAAAAACCCTACGCATTCAGTGGTCGACTCCTTTCCTAGGTGTTTGGAACAATTGCTAGTGGACGACTCATCTAGTCAAATAACGACGCAGACAAATTTCCGAACATTTGGCAATGCCCTCTTGTTGCTATTTAGGTGAGTAAAAAGTCTGCCTTAATGAACTCACCGACATTTTAGAGACAAGCGTCTAACTAACCTTACACTTTTCTCCTTTGAAGATGTTCAACAGGCGAATCGTGGCAAGAATTGATGCTCTCCTGCGACTACCCTCAACGGTGTGCGAACAAGCCTGAGAACACCTGTGGCAGTGCTGGCACCTACCTCTACTTCGTCTCCTTCATCTTCCTATGCACCTTTCTCATGTTAAATCTTTTTGTGGCGGTGATAATGGACAACTTTGACTACCTCACCCGTGATTCATCCATCCTTGGCTCGCATCACTTGGAGGAGTTTATCCGTGTCTGGGCCGAGTACGACCCAGCGGCTACGTAATGCCTGCTCTACACATTATATCAGTGGTAATTATACAAACCCCAGTGAGATTTGATTTTATGCATGTTTACAGAGGTCGCATCCACCATAATGACATGTACGAGATGCTGCGCAAACTTGAACCACCGGTGGGTTTTGGCAAGAAATGCCCTTATCGGTTGGCCTATCGGGTGAGCATCCTACTTAATTCAGCTAAAAAACACATGAAATTTAAGGAGATTCCAGCTAAAGAATGCGGTTAAGAGGACCATTAAGAGTACATGAGATTTCATTTTCCCTTTTTTAGAAACTAATTCGAATGAACATGCCATTGGATGATTCAGGGTGCGTGCATTTCAATACTACATTATTTGCGTTGATTCGGGAGTCACTGAGCATTAAAATGGGTCCGGCTTCGGTAATGGACATCAAAGATGCTGAACTGAGGGATACACTCCGTGAAATGTGGCCACTGCAGGCCAAAAAGATGCTCAACCTCCTGGTTCCCAGTGATGAAGGTAAAAATTGTGACAGGCAAATTGGAATAAGTCCATCCACAATATTATCATCTTGTCTGGATTTCACATTGCAGAGCTAACTTGCGGAAGGATGACAACGGGGAAGATCTACACAGGTCTCCTTATTTACGAGAATTGGTTAGCCAATAGGAGAGTAAACCAGCGTCAGGCTTCTGTGAGGATCAAAATTTGGCTGATATTTTATTTGATCAAATAAAAAGTGGTATTACCTCATATGTGAAATTGACTTGCTTACTCTTTTTTAGCCACCTGAAAACTCTCATCAAAAATCAAGAGTTGAGGAAATCAAGTAAGTTACTTTATTATTTAAAATAACAAATTTCCGCCATGAAAAAAAATAATTCGCCTTACTACTCTTGAAGATCTCAACGAGAAGTCATCCAAATAAATCCAATTCACCAAAATTTACAAATATCTCCAGTCACTGTAAGTATTTCAGTGGGTCAACGTCACATTTGCCCTTTCGTCGTTAGGTTATTATGCCGCTATATATTTTTATCCTAAGAACTCAATTCAAGAGCGTAAGAAGCGACATTTCAGCATAGATGAGGCGGAAAAAGCCGTGCGACACAATAGTAGGGCAGAAGCTAGCGAAGCTCCCCCAGACGCACACCTTTCCGCGGTTTCCAATCACTCACCACCGATATGCGACCTACGACCACCAGCACCCCGAGGTCTGGTGCCACCGATAGGAGGAACCGAATATTCCACAACGGGATCCTCGCGACCGCCAAGCCCTTTCTTGGACTTCGCATCTGCTGTCACCTCGTTGATGCAGCAGGTGAACTTAATGGTAGAGAGGGAGAGAAGTCAAAAGTTTCTTGGTATGTGGGAAGATTTGTAAAAAAATAGCTGAACTGAATCAAATAGGCCATGTAAGGATGTATCTGATAAATGTGCCTAACAATAACTAGGAATTTTGTTAAACAGTTTGCAAATATGCCAGTGAAGTAGGAAAAACCAGGAATACTACGTCGATAAATATCTTAAAGTAGTATTAAGGAAGTCCTATAATCGGGCAATTTTAGGTGATCTTGACAGTTTCGTACGTTCCCAGTAGAATTTGCAGAGAAAGATGAATAATCTTCAAAGTCCTTGCAAAAACAGCATTTCCACTTGTAAAAGTCCCACATTTTAATGCCTTTCCTCACATCGGTAGATTAAAAACGAAGAATTTAAATTATTTTTATGTGACATTTGCAATAAATATGAATAAAATGCGTCATTATTTAATTAGCCGAGAAATACGCAACTAGAGTGTTCCCCAGTAAAATAAGTGATAATAACTCTGAGACTACAACCAACTATTTGCAGGAAGGCTCTAAAATGCAAAAATACTACACAGGCATGGGCAAAATTCAATGGTCATAAATGATATATTAAGGCAGAAGTGTCAGTCAATGCCATCGCGTTATTTTGAGATCAATCACTTATTATAATACATCATGCGTTCCAAAAGATAAAATCACTTCGGATTCTCTAGTAAAATCCTTAATAAACTTACTTCAACAAACCACCAGGAACCCATCACTTACAAGCGACTTCAAATACGCATCACCCTTAAGGCTTATCAAATTATCTACTCAAACAAATAAGAGCAGAAATTCTAAGTATTTTTAGCGTCTATTTTCTAGTAGAGGGCACAAAATCGCGTTAAATTCTTTTGCTACGTAGCTTGCATGGCAATTTTCTTGAGCACGCATTGTAGGTCGATCACCTAGTGATGTTGATTGGGACTCAATAGTAGCATACCGATCACAACGGGGCCTTGGTAACCGTAGTCGAACACGGTTTCTGGCTGCTGCAACAGCCAACATCTTAGCTCGCAATGCGCCAAAATCTTCTCACAAACCCAATTATCGTTTCTTCGGTGGGACTCCACACAGCAATAGCAACAATGCAATAGAGCCGCCCCATTCAATCAGCGACAATACTCCAATGCTTTCAACGGAAAGTGTTTTACCCAGGGGGACCATTGAGCATTCGGAGGTAGAAAATGCTCCTCAGGATAAGCCCTTCGTGACATCACGGCTTCTTAATGCCCCGAGTGACTGGGAGGCTACGATCGCGTCCAATAGTTTAGCTTTACATACCCTTCACGAGGACTGGTACGGCCAATGGCAACCACATTTTGAATGGAACGAACAGTCACCCTCTCCTGTTTCCCCGATTTTCAGTCGTCAGACCTGTTCTCCCGACTATCGAGAGCCATCAACCAGTTCTGTAGAGACACCACCGCCATTAAAATGCCCTTCTAAAACCCCCAAAATTAACTTTCCAACTCTCTTATCGTCGCCTACTGATGAAGTCCACAAGATTCCAATTTACTTTCCGAATTATCAGATCACGACCACACTATATGGACGCAGTGATGATGTGAGTCAAAACGGAATGCGATATCGAATGCCAAGCAGACCTCTCGGTAATGAAGCTGTGCCACCTCAAAGGGTGTCAGATATTGAAAGGAGGGAGCGGACTTGTCGGCGGCCACAGAATTTCCTTCCTATGAAGTATGACTGTGGACATTAGTTTTTTTAGGACAATCGAATGTAAATCCCACCTAACTATTCAAAGTTCCTTTAAGAAGTGATTTGTGTTAAAATAAATATTACCCATTCATAATGGCCTTGGCTGAATTTGAATAGTTTTTACTACGGAAATTTTTTTACAAAGGCTTTTAAAAGTTCTCCAAGTGCTTTAGTCAACAATATTGTGAGTGAAAAGATTGCTTTTTCATTGTTTAACATGGTAATGAAAGGGGTAATCTAAGCAGATAAATCAGAAATGCCTACAGAATTTTGCTCTAACATTAAAATGGACTTATGTAAAGAGATTGGATGTGGAGTTGATTAGTAACAGGAGAATGCTGCCTTCAAAAAAAATATTGGTAGTTTATTACTATTTTAAGGTCATATATGTAATCATAGACAAATTAATATTGTGTTAATGATTCAGTTGCGAGAAGAGGTGTCACAAAAGTCCCATGTCTTGAAATGCTCCCATCTGAAACCATAGAAGAGTAATTTACGGAGTTTTTGGTGAATTTTTACCTACGCAACCCATATAAAGGAACAGGCCCTTCTTATTTGCTGAGCTTTGAATTAAACCTAAATCAAAGTGCTCCACAATTTTAATGTTTGACTTGTATTCTGCATGTGTGTACAAAAGATAAGCAATGCAAATTTGAAAGCAACTCTTAGAATGTCTGACTTTATTATTAGCTTCTTCTCAAAAAATTTTTAATACAAATGGATTTTGCATTTTAAAGTTACTTAATCTGGTTATGTACTATATTTGCATGCTTTAAATAATCATTGAACTTTGTCCACGCCAGTATCCTCGAGTTGGTTTAGGGCCCGCTTCCGCTTTTCACATTTTCTTTATGTGAATGGCCATGGAAGCCGGAACAAGTTGTGAGTTTGCGTCTCCTAAGTTCTACGCTCTTTGCGGTCTTGGCGGAATCGTCAGCTGCGGTACTACTCACACTGCCATCGTGCCCCTGGATCTTGTGAAGTGCCGCTTACAAGTTGATAAGACTAAGTATGGTTCCCTGACCCAGGGATTCCGCGTTACCTTTAAGGAAGAGGGACTTCGTGGTCTCGGTCGCGGATGGGCTCCAACTTTTTTCGGCTACTCTCTTCAAGGTCTTGGTAAATTTGGCTTCTACGAGATCTTCAAACACACCTATTCGGGCATGCTTTCTGAAGTAAGTACCTATAATGTAATATAAGGCTGCAGGAAAACGCCTTCCTTTGGAGAACATCTATCTACCTAGCAGCTAGTGCTAGTGCTGAGTTCTTCGCTGACATCATGCTTTGCCCCATGGAAGCTCTGAAAGTGCGTATTCAAACTATGCCCGGATTTGCCAGCACATTGCGTGAGGGCTTCCCCAAAATGCTCGCTGCTGAGGGCTTTACCGGCTTTTACAAGGGCATTGTGCCACTCTGGTGCCGTCAAATACCCTACACAATGATGAAGTTTGCTTGCTTTGAGCGAACTGTCGAAGCCTTGTATAACTATGTTGTGCCTAAGCCGCGCTCCCAGTGTTCTAAAGCCGAGCAGTTGGTTGTCACTTTTGCTGCTGGATACATCGGTAAGATTAATGCTTGATGATATCTTTTAGCCGGTGTTTTTTGTGCGATTGTATCCCATCCACCGGATACCATTGTATCCAAATTAAACAAGGATCCCAACGCGAGGCTTGTTGAAGTTGCTAAGAACCTAGGATGGCGTGGTAATTAACATTCAACTTAATCCTACCTTGGCCGCCTTTTTCCCCACCCAAAATTGTACTTTCTTTTTTCCTTTTAGGCATGTGGGCCGGTTTGGGTCCTCGTATCTTAATGATTGGTACGCTGACTGCCCTGCAGTGGTTCATCTACGACGGTTTTAAAGTTGTCATGCGCCTACCTCGTCCTCCACCGCCTGTGATGCCTGAGTCGTTGAAAGCGAAACTGGCAGCTCAACAACATTAGCACGGCATTTTCGATGCCAATTTTAGCCTTTCGCTTCATCTGTCACTGCCAAAGTGCAATGTACAAACTAGTCAACTCTCCATAGCTCTTATCGTAGTTTTGTCTGTCCTTTTGGATCTCATGAGCGAATACCCTAGACCCTTATCACATTACGGCGTGTTCTTTCGTCGGAGAATCCTAACGTTCGTCTGTTCATCTAAGGACTAGGTGAGGTCTTGCCTCCAGGTTACCTTGTTATTGTGAAACTGGTTGCTGTGGTTATTTTGACGATCAAAAAGGCAACGATATCGGCATGATGTTTTGGGCAGTGACCACGAGTGCATGAGGAGGGTTTTTTTGCGTTAGCAGGTGTAAGTGATGCTGGAAGTCGGTTTTTGCGTTCTAGTCTCTCGCGGTATTGCGGTAGATTGTACTACCGTGGTAGGGGGTCCCTTTCTCACTACGGAGGGGTCGGGGGCTTACAGACGTGACCTTTCATGTTATCACGGCGTAAGTACGAGTGGGGGGGTTCGTTATGCTTCGATTGAAAACACCGCCGGTCGTAAGTGGAGCTGATGCCTCCAGGGTCATCCAGCAGCCGGAGATCGCTTTCGGAATTCCATGTAGACGGTGGTGCGCTTGATCATGGGGGTGTGGGTGCGCCTCATTGACTTCAAGGTGCTTGCAATCGCACCATCCTTTAATCCACCTTGCGGAAGGAAGGTTCGTTGGCTGGACTTCGGCGGTTTGTTTAAGTTTGGTGTCGCTTCACTTCGCAATTGCTCCTTTCGCAAGAAGGAAGGTAAAGATGATTGCTACCATAGGACTCCCCCCAGGTATTACTCCAATTGTGAGTTCTCACAGATTTGGGCGTCCCCAGCCAACGCCTGCTTTCCTTCTGTGAGTAATCTGCCAGGGCGGTCACGTTTGTTGCCTTCTTGGGAAGGGTTCGTTTTTTGCTGACATCCCTTGAAATTGGGAGAGGCCATATCGCGATGGTGGAAGGTTTGCTAACTAACAAAAGAGCCGGGAGATTACAGCCGCGTCTAGGAGGCAAAGGAGCCCCATTGGAATTTTTCTTCCACTGAATGAAGATAAGGCGATTCAAATTAATTGCATCCAATAGTCGTCTCTCCTCGAAGGTGCTCTGCGAGTGGCGTAGAGATTCGACTTTATCCGTGACCTCGGGTAAAATGGCGATGTTCTGCCTAATTCTACTGAAATAAGTAGGCATTTCGTTTACGCGCTACGGGGATCATAATTAAACCCACTTTAAGAGGAGTTCATTCCAAGTGTTTCGTGAGCCCTTCGGCTCTGCTTGTCCTGTTTCCCGCCTTGTTTTATAAAAAAACAAGCTGAGGAATTGCGTGAATTAATTATTGACAAGTTGACGGGTTCCCCACAAGATGTGTCACCGGTTTTGGAGGAAATAATCGTGTAAATGGAGAACAAAGTTAAGAAAAAACGGGAAGCTTTTCTCATCATTCTGTATTCATTGAATTTGTTGCACACTCTCACCTACGAAGCAGCGCGTTTGGCACTGAATGCCTGCTGAATGTGGAGAATGTATTCAGGAGAAGTTAAGGTTCCTAGGAAATATGTCACATGGACCGGTTCGATGTAGAATTATCAATTAACAAAAAATATTTATATGGGTCCACCATACCCACACATATCTTCATAGACCTGCATAAAAGGGAGGGGCGTCAATATTCCCGCGATAGAAGGGACACGGACATAATACAACTTCAGGTAAGAGGAAAAAGGACTTCCTTATTGTTATAAATAACTGAATTTGAACAGGGATGTTACAAATGTCAATTTACCCCTGAGCCATTTCCTAATCATCTCTATTTCCTCACCATTTCAATGGCTGTCATGCCTCCAAGATGAATTAGTTCTGTAGGAAAGTACTTCTCACATTATATTATTCAAAAAAAGAAAATGCGGAGAATTTTTAGCGGTGTACACGCTTTCTCGAATTTGGCAGTTGGATGGACGATAATTTGATAGTGCGTGGGCAGAGTTTGGTAGCATCAAATGACAGGTAAGTGGTATTTGCAAGAAATGGCAAAAGACTTGTCAAAAATGGCACATTTGCGCGCATGTCGGTGAGTTATACGCCCTGATTTTACAAGGTTCATCATTTCCATTGCCTCATTTAACTGTTCCACTTCTTTAGAGAATCTTCTGCCCCTCAAATTATTCACCTTGGATAGGCGGGGAGAGGGTCAGAGGAAAATCAGTTTGAAAGTAGCTAAATTATTAATGTGTCGAACGTCCGGAAGCCTGCTAGCGAAAGAGTCATTAGCATAACTCTGTGCAGAAAAAAGGGAACTTCGAAAAAGGCATATTACTCAACCGATGGGATTTGCTCTCCCTATAAACACTGAAGATAAATAAGTGGGAGCTCTGAGAAGGACGACTGGGAAAAGTCAGGCATTAATGATAGAGAGGAAGCTTGTTCATACTCTTCTATGGTAACAAGAAATAATGTAGAAGGTGTCCTCCTTTCTTTGCCAATAGTTGTTAGAACATAGAGTAGACTTGCAAATTGCCTCCATCCCACGACATGTTCAAGTTTAATAAAGGGTTGCCATTACTCGAGCGTGATGTCAGGGGGGTTCAGCGGGCTCTCAGCGAATCGCGTGTGTGTCAGTAATCTACCGCCTCCAGCTACCTACGTCGTAGGCATGTAGGGTTGACGCAAGTGAAATCAGAAAGGCGTTCTCCCAAATGGATTGTTTTTTTCGCTTGAGAGAAAGTAAGGCAACTCATTATGAATTTGGACCACGCGGCTCCTGTTCGCCTCAAAACTAAGCTCAGAGAATCCACCTCATTCCAGGTACGAAATATGCAGCCCTAGAAAGATTGGTTTCTTTTTCCTTCTTGACTTTCACGTCTAGAGGATCTCAAAACTCAAGCTCGCGTTCGATTCTCCTGATAGGTCAATATCACGTGCGGATAGGCTCTAAATGAGGTGATAGAAACTGCGGGTTGAAGGTCATTCAGAATGCTTTATCCAGCATGGCGATTGCTCTAAGACTTCATTAATAGCCAGCAGTCATATACCCATACAATATTCCGTCCAACTTGCTCTTTCCCCACTTAATCTTGCCAAAATACTCAGGTAGGGTCACAAACACCACATACACACACACACACACAGACTAGCCAATCACTGTCCATTCCACATCTCGTGGGTACATTCCCCATCATTACTATAAAAAGCATTCCTGATTTGTGTGTGTGTGTTTATGTGTGTCTGTTTATGTGTGGAGGTGTGTGAATGTGTGCGCGCGGTCAAATGTAGGCACACCTTTTTCACCAAACACATTCCATTGGCCAAAAAGGCAGAGTTTGGTAATACAACAAGTTGATCCACCTTAACTTGTTTTGCCTTAAGAAGTCTTTTAATGTTAGAAAAAAGAACATCCCATCTCCATCCCTTCGTTACACTCTACGAGCTCATACCACCTCTGAGTAGCTCCCCTTCCTCCGTCTAAGGTTGGGAATAGGGACAGTGGAGCTATCCCATCGCATAATTCAGTTTTCGTGTTACCCTGGTGACTTTTTACTAAAGCGACAATTTCCACTCTCCCCTTTGGTATGATGGGGTCGCATTATCACTTGCCAAGCCTAATTGATAGGTCGAAGGCAAGTGAGGCCGAAAGGCGACTTTGTCCCCTCTTTAGGTCAAGATTAACTAAAAAATTCTCCCATTAATAATTAATATTATCCAACCATTCGCCCCAAAATTATTTACTACCAGAGATCATGATAAATGCACCTCTGGCAAAGGCAACATCACAAGTGGATTCTGCCTTCATAGTGGTGATAAGCAGGCAAAAAAAAGGCAACTTGTTTTGGCGCTCAAAGCGTGGAAATCAGCGAGGAAAGGTTTCCTAGAATAAATGATTTGATCTCGATTTTTGCAGCTACCTCTTACATTCCTTATTCGACCTCAGATACCGCTGAACCACTTCAAAGGCAACACACCGACTTTAGTCAACCTGGCAGTTTCAAAGAGACATCAACACATTTAAAGTCACCGGACATTGTTTAAAGCCAAGAACATTTTTTTGTCAAGCTCCATAGGGAATCACGAGTGATGGGAGGAGGGGAATTTGGGTGTTTAGGAGATCCAACTCTCGTGGATCCCTTCGATGAGAGTGGAAGCTGAGGTACTAAATAACCTAGCAATTAACTTCCGTTTGGCTGATCCAGTATCTTCCTTTAATTTTTAAAATCTTTTGAACCAAAGGGAAAATGGATGCAGAATCTCTTCACTCGGGTGATAAGTCATCCTTCCTTGTGTGTACCACAACTAAATCGAAACGGGATAAGAACTTGACCGGTCAGCGAAATCTGTTACAAAAGGAGCTTGGATGAGGTGTTACTTACTGTGGTAAAGAAATCTGTTCTTTCTGCTTTGCCGTTTTTCATTTGTCTTTGCGGTTAAAATTTAACAAGATTAGATGCTACTGTTGAGTTAATAAGTAGACTACAGAATTAATTTACAAAGAGTGAAAAAATGACAAGAATAAATCGACAACTCACTGGCAATTCGCTGTGGAAGTAAAAAAATCCAAACAATTTTTTGACTCCACCTGTCAGGATGTCACTTGTTGTCAGGCAGACTCATAAGTCAGCTACATTGGTGGAATTTGACGGCTGGGGGTAGGAAATAGCTTAGGCTGACTGCGTAATCCTCATGGGTGTTGCGCCACTGCTCCACTATCGTGTCTCTTCAAGCCTAGACCACTGAAATCCGATTGCTTGAGGCAAAAATTATGTCCTCAAGGTCACTCCTGATCTGGAAAGAACGTCATATGGAGTGAAATGATATTTCGCCTACCAAAAAAAGGGAGGAAACCATAGCGAGGAGTTAAGGAGTGAATTTTCCCTTTCTACTTTTAAGAATAGGCAGTGAAGAATATCCATTGCTTTTGGAACATAGTTAAAATTTTTTTCCCTTTTGAAAAAGCTCGATACATATCCTATTCGGTGTTGTGAGAGGGGTGAAGCAGCCACTTTTTGAAGGGCCGAACTACCAATCACCAAATTAGGGCCAGGCGTGCTTTCATGGTAGTCGAAAAGATGAAAAATTGTTTACCTCATCATCCTCCTGGGAGGGCGCACGTTGTAGACAATAATTGTTTAACAACCCCCATTTTTTCGCTGTCTTTGATGGCCACACTAGCTCATCTCAGGTTGGGCGTAGACTGTTGGCGCGTAGGCTGGATTGCCCCGACGCTGAAAGGCGAAGGCGAAGAAGAAATAGGCATCGATAAGGGCTTTTAAACCTCCTTTAACCTCTTTCCTTCTCGTGAATTTGGTATGCATCCGAAAGGCAAAAAAAGGTATTGCCACTTCGCTTTTTGATCAACTGTGCTATCCGAAAGGTAAGGGCGAGGGCGTGAGGCCCCTTTCCAACAAAGCGTTACCCTCTTTTGGTAAATCAGGCGAAGGACTGATTCAAAGGAAAGGAATTTCCTTTTATGGGAAGTTGTCCAGCTAAAGGGAGGATACACAACAATGCCTTTATTTCCGTTTTTTGTATTTTTTGTCACCCAGGAGCTCGCTGCGAAGTACAACTCCCAACCTCCATATCCAAACCCACAAAGTTTCCATCTGCAATCGCCAAACCCCCTGCCGCAACAAAAAACTTGGATAGAGGATTACCATTTATTTCTACAAACAAGTCATATCTCTAGCATAATTTTTAATGGAGGTCACATCAAGAAGAAAAAGAAGACTATTTTTGGTTTTTTTATTGGTGTAAGAAGGTGGGTGTTGCCTTTATTTAAGCGCCTTTTTGGAATTTGTTTCACTGTTTTTTTTTAGAATGCGAGAAAGAAAAGACAAATATTTTAACAATCAAGCCCTCGAATCGGTCTCCCCTCACGCACACGGTCAAATAAACCTTCCTTAAGTCTGCTTATGGTCAGCACAAATGTGTTGATCACCCTTCACGATAAATTTCTTGCCATCAAGAGGTTGTTTGCATTGAGCACAGGTGAAGCAATCCATGTGGTAGGGTTTCTCCTGGTAGATTGAATACTTGATGGTCGGATCAATCTTTTTGTGACACTTCTACAAGGAGGAAAGGGATGTGCAAACAAAGTCACCCCAGTAGGTGAACGCGTGGATGTCTACAAAGGCGCCAACAACTAACCGTGCAGGTGGGATCAAACTTCTCCCTTCGACAGTCAATGCAGTAGGGTGTGCCATCCTTGTTATGGAAGGACTTGCCGGCCAATTTGCATTTACAACCGGTGCAGACGAAGCAGTCGTTGTGCCACTTCTTGTCCATGGCAGTCACCACGGTGCCAGTCACCTCTGTACCGCATTTGGCGCATTTATCTACCATTTTTTTGCTGAAAGTAATTAAGATTTACAAAAGGGAATGAAAAAGATGAAGGAAGAAAACTTGGAAATCAACTCACATGATTTCTCGAACAGGTGTAGACAAAGCCGAAGTATTGCCGCCTGGCTAACTAGCTGGCTAACTGGTAGGCTGACTGCACTACACTATAAATATAAGCAACTCCAACAGCCTGGAACCAATGAACAGGTGCGGCCTTGAAAGTAGTCTAGCTCGTTTCCTATTGGCTGGAGCGTAGCGTCAATGAACGCGAATGTCGTTGTTTACCCCCTCGTTCCCTCCCCCTACCCTTCCCCCAAACAAAAACACTGAATAAGGGTTTGGACGGGAGGGATTTTTAAAATAAAAGTGGAATTTATTTAGAAAGTTTATGACTGATTGATACATAGTTTGGACGGTTGATGTAGTTTAACAAAAAAAACGAAAAAATATGATCCTTTCCTCACAAATTTTGCTAAAATCGTTGAGTGAAAAGGTGTATTTTCTGCACTTTGGGTCAATATTTGCAGGGATTTGACAAGCTAGTTAATAGATTCATCATATTTTTAAAAAATATGATCAAACAAAGTAGAAAAGTGGGAAAGTTTGGGGGTAGAATAAAATTCATTTGGTAGTTTTCAATAGATATGCAAGTGGTGAAAAAGAGCTGTGAAGGAGACAGTGGAATGCCAAAAGTTTGCCATCGAATAATGTCACCATCGGCCACTCGACACTGTCTGGCCCTAATTTGCATAGCTGCAAAAAATTTATCTTGGTCATCACATGTGACATGAGTTATGCCTTCATGTAAATTTTTCGGATCTAAGAACGTACCCCTGCCCGGTGTCGTTCATGCATTACCGATCAACGTCGACTTCTTCTCCTCTCTTCCTATTGGATGGAAACCAAAGGAGGTCAATAGACAAAATAATCAAAAAAAGGGGAAACAGTGTAAGAAAGAAAATTCAAGTAGCTGGCAGTCACCTGTCACTGATTGACGTCTATTTCCTTTTCCTGTGCTCCGATTTAATAGAAATCAATAAAAGGAATTATGGTGGAAGTAAATTGCCGATTATCGATCGATGACGGCGTCCGCTCCTGTCTTCCTATTGGGTGGAAATCTGAGAATGGGAAACAAAGAAAGACTTAAAGAAGGCGACTTTCGGTTACTGATATTCAGCACTTATTGACCTCTTTAACTGTGGTCCCATTGGATGGAAGAGAAGTTTTAGTGGAGGTATCTTCAGATTATCAGTCGGTATTTTTAAGTTCGTACTCTTTTAAAACTTTTTTTTACGAAATCTAGCACCTTTAAAATAGTGGCAAGGATTTTGGTACTTTTCCTTGTTGTTTAGCTGCATATGCATTAAAAGCACTTTTTAAAGAAAGAATAGTAGAATGAAATTTCTAGCCATCTACTCCATTTCCTTGTGTGACCTTGAGCGTTAGAGGAAGTTTTTATGGAAATGTGGACTTCTGCTAAAGCAAATGGAGGGATTTAATTTGGCACTTTTCTACATTTCTAATCTAACAGTAGGTGGAGTTAAAAGGAGTTGCATCGGAGGCCATCATCAGTTGTGTGGAGGGCAATCACAAATTGTGAACACCTACATGCAGATCACATGATTGAAAAGGTGAAAGTGAACATTTCTAATCACACGGCACACATTTACATCAGAACAGCGGTTTGAAAGATGACAGGCACAAAGTAGTACCCTTCTGCACGGCCTTGCCCCCACCCTGCCACCACCTTTCCTAATTTGTTGATGTGCGTAGTCTCAGTGATCACAGGGGATTTAGGAAAAAAATTGTAGCGTCACAAAATGCGTTGCATTCCCTGCCTCCGCATGATGTGGATGCGTGCGTGTACCCGATTAGACCTGCTAATGTAGGCTCCACCTCAGGGATCTTCCATCTACCAATTCCAGCGTTATTCCCACCGTTATCTATCGCCTCTACCATCCCGACACGTGGACGGAAATCGCCCCAGAGTAGACAGCCATTGCAGTTCGCCCTTTAGTAGAGCATACTGGAATTGTTTACCACTTGGAACTCACCTCGTTCTGAAAAAGGTCAGAAAAAAGAAACTATTTTTTTCCTTGCTTGCAGTTATTTTGGCCTTTCAGACTGGCCACCTTGCTGTCGACTTGGTGGCAAAAACGGCTGCCGCACACACATTGAGAAAATTCTTTTTTGAAAGAGCTTTTTTGTTTTACTGCTTAAAAGAAAACTGTCTTAAAAACCTTTACAAACTGCCACTTTTCGAGTCAAAATACAATCATCCGTTTTGTGATACACTTGGCTAAGCGAAAAGCATTTTTGTCCTTTTTTCACCCACATCGTCTCCACTACTTCAAATGCATGCTCCTCTACGGCTAATTTACAATTCTTTTTGCATTAAATAAAAGGTCAAGGAACATGTTTAAAGTGGTGCATGTAAGACAGTTTCAGAGCATGCACTCACAAGTACAAAAGGTAGAAGAAAAATTCACGCTTTTTTGTCCTCCTTACACCCCGCCCACCCCTCCAAGGGCGTACTATGTGGGGACAGTTCTTGCATGTTCTTGGTTGTCCTACTCACAGCTCACACCGTTGAAGGTGGAGATTGACCGCAAGAGCTTTTACATCCATGATTTCGTAAAGAAAGCCCCTAAAACTGCTGCCTGGGAGTTTAGTGCCCCTCCGTCCCTCACCTCCGCCTTGAAAATAATAGATGGAAGATGCCGCGGCGGGCAATAAGACAGCCTAATTTAAACTTTTAATGTCGAGGAGCTGTCAGGAGGTAGTTACTAAAGAGAACCTGTTTCACTATCCCCACCTCATTTCACCCTTCAGGTGGGAAATAACCGCGCGGGAGGGTTAGATTTGACCCAGTTTACATCCAGCTCCTCTTTCCCCCTCGAAGGGATCGGAAAGCACTCACACCAATCCATGATGAATAAAAAAGAGGGAAGCACCAATTAACCCTTTTTCTTTATTGGTTAAAAGGGGCCTAGCATGAGGGCAATCCTAAATGAACCGATGAGGCGAATGGTTTTGACATTTGATAGCCGATCACCGACATCTAATGGTGTGCGCACACAAATTGGCCGTCCTTACTGACGAACCTCTTCCCGTCCAGTGGCAGTCTACACTGGGCACAGGTGAAGCAGTCTCTGTGATAAGTCTTGTCCTGATAGACTGAATACTTGATGGTGGGATCAATCTTCTTGAAGCACTTCTGTTAAAAGGTAAAAATAGCCAAAAAAGGCGATAAATTTCCCAGTATTGTCCATTTAAAAGGGCGAGAAAACTCACTGCACAGGTTGGGTCAAATTTCTCCTTACGGCATTCAATACAGTAGACGGATCCGTCCTTATTGAAGAATGACTTGCCCTGAAGCGGCGTTCGACAACCCAGACAAACAAAACATTCGTTGTGCCACTTTTGACCCAGAGCAATCACCACTTGACCCGTGATATCCCCGTGACACTTGGCGCACTTTTCGACCATCGTTGAACCTGCTCACTGGGTGGAGAAGAAAAATCAGAAATTGGGAGAAATCGCGCTACTCGAGGGAGGTGGAAGTGAAGGGTCTTCTTACCCGATAAGGCAAAGCGACTAAGGGACACCGTCGGAACCCATTTGCCCTCCTTATAAAGCCATCATTGGAGGCCGCTGAACCAATTGCACGCGACCTCGGTGAAATTCGTCGATACTTCCCACCCCTGTTCCTAACTCCCATTGGTCAGTTGTGCACTATGTTCAATTCTCCATTTCAGCTCGTCCAAGGAGAAATTAAGTTTTCCCTGAAATCTCGCCCACGTGTGCCTAATGGGGAAATTCATGATTTGTTTACACAGACATAGGAAAAATGCACATGATTTGGTGGCACTTTAGTCGGCTGGAAGATGTTATGCTGACGGAGTAGTGCGATAAAGCAGTAAAGAGGTCGTGTTTTCATTTTTTCTTCTGTTAAGCAGACATTTAAGAAATGTCTGGACTGCGCAGCAACGCGGCAAAATAACCTGTTCGGATATTGAAAAGAATTTGTTAAGCAAACCTAGCTAATTGATTACTTTAAAATTTCTTGCGGAAAAAAAAAGAGTAATCTAATTTTTGTAAAAAACTCCAGAAAAAAATGGTTTAATAGGATATTCTAGAAAAAAGGACCTTTTATAAAGCAGGAATTTTGTTGCGTTTCTTGCTGTTAGCAGAAAGCGAATTTCGAATGCCTTATTGTTTAATATTTTCCGGAAATATTACAAACATTTCGTATTAGTAAAAGCAGAAGATCGTCATTGGTTATTTAGGAGAAATAGGTACACATTTCCAAACCATCACAAGACTTCTCAGAAAGTAACAAGAGAGCCCTTCGTAATGGAATTTCATTATAGAGTAATTTCAAAATTTTTTATTTATTTGGGGTTTTTTTTAAGCAACAGACAAAAAGAAGAGATTCACTTATTTTCATCGTCCAAATAGAGGGCCTTTCAGGGTAGTATATATTTTCAAAAAGAGGAGTCCCTTTGGGGTGTAAAATTTGCCAGACATATTCACAATCAGAAATAGGACCTCCATTTCCTTTTATCTTGCGTTATGCATCATGGGACAGGGCGAAAATACTCCCCTGTGGCAGGAATAAAACAACGACCTTTTGTTTTCCTTTTTCTGTTGTTACTACAGAGGCAATTCAAGTAGTGGTGATGAGAACCCAACATTTGTGTTTTGCGGAGAGAAGCAGTCGTCATGTTGGAGTCATTGTGGATACCATGTATTTATGACCCCAATTCTAGAGTCTGGAGTAGCCGCAACTCCCCTCATCCCCCCGCCTTGGCTTTGTAGTTTATAAATTCTCGCAAAGAATGCGAGTAAAGCCAGACGGGGCATATTTACGGCGTTTTCGACTGGTACGCATTTCATTGATGGAACCTTAGTATTGTCATTTTTTGGTTCTCCTTTCCCCTCCCTCCTAGGTGTCACAAAGAAGCCTTTAATAGAGGTATGAAAATGACCAATGAAGGGCCATAGGAAGGCATGATACATCTTTTTGCTGAAGGACTTGGGCCTTTTTGGTAATGTGGTTGCAGTGCCTGACCCGAAAGAGCAACAGGTGGTAGGTGATTCTGGTGACGCCAGTTGTATTTGCGTGATTTAGAAAGGCAAAATTGGACTTAAAATTCGCAAAAACTGTTTAAGGTGTGAGACCTGCTCTTTGAGGGAGGTACGGAAGAAAAATAAGTCCAGCAGTGCTTTCTGCTTGGCATGATCTTGCCTTCCTCTCGCTGATGACCAGTCAAGTCGAGAGGTCATGCCCGATGCAGAGCCCAAGAGTTCATTTACATCTATCTCAACTTAGGTAGGGGGTAATGGTTAGTAAAAAGACACCTCCTTCACCTTCACGGATTTAAAATGGCTTCAAAAGCTTTTAGCTTTTCTGTCACTTCAGCGCAGGTGACTGGCCATTTGTGGACTGAGGCAATGCTAGGAAAGCAAGCCTTTTACTGGCTGCACCCGTACTTTGAGGGACCATATCGTCTCCATAAAACTATGAATGCGGGGGACTATTCCTTTCTTCAAGGCCACCATATTTTCAGGGGCTCCACCATCATTCCTCCACCTCCCAAAAAAAGTTGAGTGGTAGGCTGAAAGTTTTACTTCTTCCTCCTCCCCATGAGAAAGTCGCACGTAGCACTATCCCACACTACGCTTTGGCAAGATACAGTCAAGAGTACTGCCGCATCCTCACCTGTCTACTCTCCTCTGATGGTACTCCACCACCCACCCATGCCAAATGGATATGTGGAGTGGCTGGTGACACCTACCAGTGGCGATTGCTAAGGCAGGCTTTGGCCTTGCCTCCTTTTGGGACAAAATTCTGTGGCTTTTGAGGAAGAAGAATGGAATATACCGCCATTTATTTCAACGACTAAGGTATCAAAAGAGGGAAATAGGATAAAACACACACAAACTTTTTTAAGATCCCTCACGCTCACGTTACTGTCACTGTCATTTCCACTGACATTAACAGTGACAAGAAAGTAAGTTTAAATAAGAAAATATATTGTTTTTTGGCAAAAAGGGAAGGGAAATAGTTGTTTGAGTTTAGCTTAAAAGTGAATTAGAAAGTTACATTTTCCTGGCTCCTCCCCTACCCCACCTTTCCCCCCCAAACGTGGATTTTTAAGACGCACTGATTACTTCACATGGTTTATGAATGTCTGGAATGCTTTAACCAGGACTGCAACCCTGGGCTTGAGGAAAAATGCATACGGTCCTTTGAAGGGGGGTAAGCGTAACACCTCAGACATTAATTTGTCTTTTGTTAGAATTTTACAGCTCTCTAAAAATAGTAGGCACATGTGGTTGTACATATTAAATGGTACAGCAGTTACCCTCCCTTTTTGAGCGGGGAAAGAGGACGGTGGAGCAGAAGATTTATTTTCCCTAGGTTGTTCAAATTTTGTTGTGTTATGAAGAGAAGTAAGGGAGTTGAACTTCATAGCGACCTTCAAAAGCCACTTTTTTCTTACTTTTGAATGCAAAAGCTGTTGAGACAATTGCCGTATTAGAGAAAGAAACGCATGATTTGTGCTGCCCTTGATGATAGACGGTGATGTCTGTGCTACCAGATCTGCCAGAGTTACGGGTTTCCTTTGATTTCCTTTCTGGTAGAAGTCCATTTAGTTCACTTCATAGACTCGTCTCTTCTGTAAATCACTACTACTACGGACAACACTAGGCTAGCCACTTACTTGACTGGATAATGTGTCCATGACTCACGGTTGTAGGGATTAGCTCACAGACTGGCTGGAGCCATGGCAACTTCCTGCAGAGAGGCTATCAAGAAAATGGCTCCAATCTTGTGGCGATAAGCAAATGATTTCACCTGCTCGCTCAGACAAGGTGCGTGAAGTGACTTTGGCATGAAAAAGATGAACTGGTTGGACGGTTCTATCCCTAGGTGAATGTCAACACAAATAAGGATCGAAATCTGCAGAGGTAGTGTGATTACTCCCCCTAGGTGGACGATCTGAGAAGGACGAATTTTAAACATTCTTTACGTCAAAGTGATTGCTACTGAAGCAGCTCTCCATTTGGGGCGCTATGAATGGGAAGAAGTCTTGTCAAAAGATCAACTAACCATTGAACTGAGCGAACTCTCCCATCCCTGTGGCCTTTTGGCTTTTGTCTTTCTGTCGTGGCCTACCATTCACGTCTTCTACCTTCCAGCGCGTGTGTACATTACAAATGAACTGGGGATTTACAGACCAAATAAGGAAAGAGGCAATAATTCCTACGCATGTTAGGCATCCTTCCGGTAAGTTACTTCACCTAATAGTTGATAAATGGCCTCCACTCGGTACCAGCTGTCGGAGGAATCGCCTCCCAAAATGAAGGACTAAATTTTAGCAGCGTTTTTGGTGGAAAAATGTTAAAAAATGAAATTTGGTATTCACAATTTCCCGCCACCTCTTCTTTGTTTAAATTCTTAACACGAGATCTCCAAACGACCGTATTTTCACTGCTCATGAAGTTTGAATTCATCTGAAACATAATCAAAGTTGGTAGTGGCAAATCACCAGATCTTATGCGTTTTTTGCCAACCGAATAAATCGAAGAATGTCATTAAAACATATTTTGTGTGGATATTCTTTGCTATGTAAATACGGGGCAATTAAGACCGCGTAGAGGATATTTTTGGGGAGAGTAGCAAGAACCAATTACTCCTAAGTGGATATTTTTCTCTCTTTTGCCTTGAAAGTACACAGGGAAGGATAAAAGAAATACCCAAAAGTGTTGGTGGCGTAGGCAGCCTATCACAGATAGCATAGAAGAGGATGCAAACAAAATAAGTGGATGGAGGGCTAAGTTCCTACTACCTGTCAAGGTGTCAGGCGACCGTAAAGGTTTGCTGTGAGATACACGTCGTAGTTGGAGGAGGTGGCGTGTGGAATGAGGCGTGAGAGTGGTCGAATGGGAGAGATTAATGTGGTGTTTAAAGCCTCAAAAACCCCACACAAAGTGCGTACAATGCAGAAATAGAAGGTGCCACCCCAAGGTAACTACTTTCAGGAACTTTATGACCCAAGTCGATGTCACCTACAGGCAGAAACATTATGCCTGACCATAAAGAATCACTTGTTGAGAGAGCCCACACTGACCAAGGGCTACTGCAAAGCCGAGCTAACATTCTTTCAACTACCCTTTTTACATGCCACACATTCTGAGGCTCGTACCACTTTACCTCCAGACGGCGGTGTCTTCCTTTTTCGTGGGTATGTGGTACACACTACATGCAATTGTCCGATTGTCGAGGTTTAAAAAAGGCTTACATGTGCAATATGTATAAAAAAATAGCTAAGGCTAGTTACCTGGTGGAAAGAACTACTGCAAAATCTAGACCGAAAAAATCTCGTAAATCACTTTAGAATAAGAGAAGGTGAAACCCCATTCTCCGCAACCCTTCTTAACGCCGCTCAGACATCTGAGATCGAAAGGATGGTGGATACAGCCAGGAAATTTTCCAGATTCTTAATATGAAGCATTTTTGGTTACTCTTGGGACCTCAGCAACCTTGAGGTTGAATATACCTTAACAAATTACTTGTCTCGAGTGTTTCGGAACGTTCAGCGCTTAATCCTCTCCCTGCGTTCGCCCACCTCCTGAATAAAAAGACTTTTACTGTCATCCACAGCAAGGCCAAGACAAATCAGAGCAATCCACCACTGAGCAATTCAACCAGCAGATGCAAATGCATGTAATGTGTCAGCGTTAAAAAGCTTGTTCCTCCGGGAGTCTTCCTTCCTAATTACCCCGGTGGGAGTCTCGATTGTGTCAGTATTAACAGAGGTAGGTACCAGGTTGTAATAATCAGACCATTTGTGACCATGTCAATTGAAGTAATTGCCAAATCTTATCAGTTTCATCCAGCCCAGTGATAGATTAAGGTCATCCCCACAAACTCCTGAAATTCCATTGTCAAAGGTTAGAGTAAAGCCAAACAAACTCAAATGTGAGAGATGGATTTTTGCTTGGCATTTGGTTTCCTTTTCTTGTAGGAAGGCGCAACAAGTACAGAATTAGAAGTGTGCAGACATTCCAGTTGCTTGCACCCAAAAATATGCAAATGCTTCCGTGCAACACTTTCCACCTCTTTAACCAGAAAGTAAAGTAAGGACACATTTTTGTGAAAGGTCTACTAACCTTACTACTTTTTATACAAAGTAGTAACTATTTTGCACTTTAGATATTCCAAAGGACTTAAAAGTGCGGCTTAGAATTTTGTTTTTAAATGACCACCAGATTAGCTGATTTTAATTTTGCGTGCGTACAAAAGAAAAAAGCTTGCAATATTTCATTTAAAAATAATTTAGGAGCACAAGAAGTGAGAGATAAATTAAATTCTAAAATGCAGATTGCAAGGCAGAATTGCAGAAAAGGAAAAAATATTGCAACTGGTTATTCGAAAACTGCGCATCTCGTAATGGCGCAGTAAGAGGTGACTTGTATCATACACACTTACACACACCTGTTCCTTTGGAATGTCCTCTTGCATAATTGCCTCACTTCCCTCTTAGTGGTGGGAAAAAAGCGTTTCTTTTACACATAAATATTTCGTGGTTAGTGCTTTGGAACAAGTCAACCTGGTTAAGCACTACTGGAAGGACACGCCTCAAGTAAACTAATATCTGCAAAAGAGCTGATACTAATCTAAGTATTGCCACCCGCTCTACCCGACACAATTTGGCCAACGAAAGCGGGACCAAATGTTTTCTTCCGGCTGTACATGTGTTGATGACCATAAAGACCTCTGTTCTGGAATCATTCGTGTGGAATTCAAGTACGTGGCATCATGCAAAAAGAGGACTTTTATTTGATAATATGGCAGGAAGATCATACCCACTGCCTTTTGGCATATCTATTAGCCACTTTTCCATCCTGACATGGCTTGCTATCACACCAGGAAAGGCTCAAGGCTGCACGACGGTGGCAGCGGTTAGTAACCTCGGTACCACACAAACGAAACCTCCTTATGTCACCTGAAAATAATTAAGTACTCCAATCCCATGCTCCGCTAGATTAGCGACAACCCTTCTGGAAGACTTGATAGACCCCATCACGTAGCCGTCAGTACTACTTATCCAGGGGCGTGAAGGAAATGCTACATCATCTACTTTCTTCTAAAGTGATGATTTCTGGGTGAGGAGGAATAAGATGTGCTAGACTACCCTGCAAAATACCTACCACTAGATGAATTCTTGGGTAATGGCAAGGTCCACGAAATGCATCTATTATCTAGCCTTGAACTATCTCCTGCCAGTGAGTTCTTACAATCCAGATAAAGAAAATGTAACAGTAGATCGCTTAAATCGCTCAAATTTGTTCACTGTCACTATGGAGAATTAACTCGTAGCGACCTCTTCACATAAAGTTCTTTGAATGTGAAATAGGTGAGCCTAATTAGGCAAAGTCCACTTACAACCAGCTATCCAAGGTGGAAGGACGATGAGGGCTGGAAAAAAATGCAGGAAGACAGGACAGGGAAGGGGATGGAGAAAGGGATGGAAATAGTCCCATCAATAAACATGACAAGAGTAGTTCACTTTACGACCACTCAATTTAGCTATTGTCTGACAAAGCACTTCGAAGGGTCCTGCTATGAAATGTGGAACAGCTGTGCCTAGTCACCGAATATATTGACATCCCTCAAAACTGTCAAAAAATCTTGTTTGTTGCAAAGCAACCAGAAATCTTCCCTCGACTTTTGGGACAGTAAGTAAATGACTGTTGAAAGCTTCTGCCCAAAAGGCGAAATCGGTACAAAAGGTGGAGGGAGAGAGAGGAGAAATGAGGATTTGAGGGGTGAATGAGGATAAAGTAGTAAGCTTCCCCTCTTTCTTGCCTAAGTGCCATCTCGTAGCCTCTTTTTCTACAAATTCACCAGTTCAGTCTTCCTCTTCTCCTCAAATTGCCATACAAACTAATCACGGTAGTGGATACCCACTAACCTTTGATAGGCGGACAGTTTTTAGTCAACAAGAACACTAAGGGCCCATCTCATGTAAAAAAAGTGGGCAGAATGATGTGGGGCCTGCCATAAAAATGTGGGGGGTTTGGTGCTCACCGATGATGTGGTTGGTGGATCAACAGTAGTAAAAGACGGCAAGAAAGCATCTATGATCCTTCGAACCCGTCATTGTCACATGGCATCCCGTTGCTTAGTAGTTTCCGTGATGGTGTAGCCAGTAGCAATAAGTAATTCTTTGTTAATGTCAAAAGGAAAGGTTCTGCCTGGGTCTGCACTTTTTGCAATCGCGTTGTCTCTAAGCCTCACGTGCCACATTTGACAAGAAGGCTCTGCAGTCTCTGGAAACGAGTTAATCTCTTTGCGTAAAGTTATAGAAGCAATTTTTAGTGCTTGTCAATAGCCTTTCAGCACATTACCTAAAATTTAGTAAGGAGTATGTCCCTTCACTACCGCCCCGGGTTACTGTAACGATGTAATAGCATATCCAAATGTGGAGAAATATTTATATCCCAAGTTTAATCTATTGTTTTAAAAGCAAAATATTTTTTTTTCATTAGAGCTCAAACATTTTTGGGTTTTTTTTTTAAGAAAAAAATAAAGGTGCGAATCCAAATCTTTTACTTAAACTATCTTAAGCGTGCTACTCAAATATTTTATAAGTAACATCTAGAATTACCTTATATATAACGGTGAAAAGGCATCGTATGAAGTTACTTTCTCTATAGTCTCTCTTACCGTGACCATCTTTTGCAGAAAGAATCTTCTAAAAACCCTGAATGCTATTATGGAGGGCAAATAATTTTAGTGCAGAGACTACCCTCCCCACACCTCTTCCTGCTTTGGTGTCGTGTTGCATCAGCCCTTTTATTTGGCCCAAACTTTACGCCACAGTTGGGCGAACGGGAGCGACATCGAGTGTTGGCCACCTACTTACGAGATGTCCGCGTAAGTTCCACCTTCCTACCTTTTCCTGTGAGGTACCGGTCCCGAAGCGGACAAAAAGGGAACAATTTTTAGGGAAAAGTCGCTTAGCCTTATCTCTTCTTTAATTTCAATTAATCGTTTCTTTATTACAATCAACAGTGGCCTTTTGATCCAATTTGTTGTACTCATTCCGCATCCCTTTTTTGGTAAGAATTTATTGTCATGGGAAGTGGCTGGAAGGAGGAAAGGTTTGGCAACATTTGGGAGGCGCTCGCATTTCACATCAAGTCGTCATTTTTACAGCTCCTTGTGCTCAAGTCTCTCACTGACAGCCAATTTTAGGGTTTATATTTTCAATTAACCTTTACTTCCCCCTTCACCTAGCCAATTTGCCATGGCTCCGTCCGGTGGCACTGACAGCCTGACTTTTCAGAGGTCATCACAGTTCAGTGTACTTTTGGGTGGGTTAACTGAATTACAGTCACGGTGTGAGGAAACGCCCTTGGGCACTTTGTTGCGCTTGACACTCGCTAATAACTGCACCTTTTATATCCCCTTCCCTTTTTTCCCTCCCCCTCTCCCCCCGAAAGTCTGCCAAAGTTGTCATGACAAATGTCCAATCATTACCTTTTGTATAGGTTTAAATTGACAACGTGAACTCTTGCATATCCGTTTAGTCGTTTAGAGAAGGTGAGAGAACGTTTTCTTAAAATAAAAGGAACCTTTTACTCTTAGATAACACAAGTGATTGTTCGAGAGAAGGGGAGGAAAGAAATTGGCTTTTAAGCTTCAAACACCTAAATTCTCTGACCTCCTCAGCGTTCGTGATCTATAAGTAAATATTTTGAGTTGTTGAATCACTATTTCCTCTCCCATCTCAAAATTATTGGTTAAGATCAAATATATGAGATGTCGAATCTGTTGCATAATGTCAAACATTTCAGCATAATTTGAATTATACATTTGATTAGTTCGACAGAAGTGCACCGACCTAAAAGTACACTGGGGCTTTGGTAACCTCATCTAATGAAGGCGCAGTTAAGGCGGCGGGCGAAAGGAGGATTATGCTCCGCCCCTTTGATAAACCGAAGGAACCACTTGCATCCGCCTGCACTCCGATTGGTCCACGGGCTGGGGCGCAGGGGGTTTAAATAGGCCGCGTTATCTAATTGCTTGGCCAGATTAGATCCTCTCCCCCTCTCCTTCACTTGGCCTCTGTCGCTTCCCCTCGTCACCTACCAGTGTGTACCGCACTTCCGAAAGCAGGTATTGCTGTGGTAGTGTAGAGACGATTATTGCTTGTTCACTGCGAAAATGTAAGTTTTTCTTCCTTTTTCTCACCTTAGCCTTAAGAAATTATCTTTATATTAGTTTCTTTAAGGAAGAAAGGGTGCCTAGGGAAAGTAAGATTACCCAAAGTGAAAATATCATCCCGTAGTCTCACGACTATTTACTGCAGTTCATTTTACTATCAGTAGTATTTTACGATCATATCCAAATCCCGCGGTATTGACCTTGTGTAGACTTAAACACCACCATCTCAACAGGAATATGCTCAACTGCAGCAAGTGTATGCAGCCGATCGGCGAGGTGGGTCCGGTGCTGGCGTTGAATAGGCGATGGCATCCGGGCTGCTTCGTGTGTGAGGAATGCAACTGCAACCTCGTGGACAAGCCCTTCGCCTCCAAGTTGAACGCACCCTATTGCGAGTCCTGCTTCGCTAACAAACATCGTCCCATGTGTGAGGTAGGTCCAGTGTTATAGACAGAAGGCAGAAAAAAAGGGGGATGCCATCCCCATCCTCCCGTGCACCATCAGAGACCCTTCTTGCATTCAAGAGTGCCACTCTGGAGGCAGCCAACTAGCATGCCTATGAGGCATAACTCTCAGAGTGGGTGCCAAATGCTGCGTCGTTTAATGTGTTTTCGCCTAGCCTTTAAATCGCCCACTAGAAATTTCCGGATTTCGTAATTAATAAGGAGGAGGGGCAATTTCGTCCCTAATTTTTGACTACTAACAGCACGACAAAATAAATTAGTCTGGTTGGGGTCCCAAGGCCATGGTGATGGTGAAACCAGCTTATCTTGTACATCACAGAAATTAATAGGGGGAGGATTCTTTAAGAATCAATTACTTTCTACTTTTTTCCAAAAAAAGCATGAATAAGATATCAAGACATAAAACATGCATAGGCATTTGTTTCGATGACAGGGAAGTGGCATTGACATTGCCGTTATAGAACAGTCACGTGAGTGCAAGGAGAGGCAAAGAAGTCTGGGCGATTTATTGTCATCTTCTTTCCTCTTTTGATGCCTTAAAACATTTAAACAAGTGGCGATCCAATCCAACTTGCTACCCCAAAAGGGACAGGATGGAATTCTGCATCCGACGGCCTCTGTTCACGTGCGTCGTCATCCACTTCACACGTCCATTTGGCATGTCTTGTAGCACGAGAAGGTGCTTCCATCAGCCAAAAGAATACTCTGAGAAGGCAGTGGGAGGGGGGATTAGAGGCGATGCCGTGCCAAAGTGTGGAGTTCAGGACAGCCCAAGGTACGAGATTGTGTATTCCTAGTAGGGAAGAAGCGGGACTTTTACTTCACCATGCCTAACTTAATTTTCGATGAAGATCCCCCTACGTATGTAGCGCCCTTGAGGTGGTGAACAATTCCCCGTAGGTGGTTGTTTCTAGGGTGAACTACACATCCACAATTTATGAAGTGGAGCCAGGAGGAGTGAGTTGCCTCCGGATATAAATGCTAGGTTCGAACGAACTACGAGATCCAAATCACGCTCCCATGAAATGTCAGTCAGTCGGAAAATGAAATACCAACTGTCCGCTGGCTTTGCATACCTAACGGAAGTGGGAAAAAATACAAATTGTTCAACTTCGTTGTTTATTTTCTGTCATCGGTAGAAGCCTATCACATGGCAACCATGTCTATTGGCTCGACACTAGATATAGATGTAAGTGGCTTTGCTACCTGTTAAAGATTTGTTCCTATTTCACGACTAAATTGCATTTTTCTTCTACTTTTTTTACATTCTTTAACGCAAGACAGCCACACACCACTTTGTTTTGATGCTCTCCTTTACCACAAGAAGTTGAGAGGCAATTTAGCCTAGCACTTCTCACCTTTTGTGGTGCCCTACATAACCCATGAAATCACAATCTGGCAATCTAACCACTATGAATTACGAAGGAGGGTAATAATTTTTGGTGATAAATTGTGCAGATTATTTGTTCATGCAGCAGTTGCCATGGTAGTAGGAGAACATGTGGTCGCTTCTGCTTCCTGACTTCATCCAATAGATAAGGGGCATTTGCGTAGTGTCGTCATCAATATTAGCTATTTCAGCAGAAACCTCGACTGTATTGTGCCAGCGGGTTCGGGTGATTCCTCACACCTAAAAATGTCACATAAGCATGAAGTGAAGACCCTGCGTGGGAAAAATAGAGTGACGCAGGCATTTAGATGCTCTAAAATTGGCACAAAGTAGTCAAGGACAATAGTCTTCGCTAAGAAGAAATTTGGGATTGTTTGCACTTATTAAATCGTACTGACTTCACACATATTATTCAGGACTTTATTCAAAAATTTCAGAATTAAGGTCTATTTTCTTTAATTAACATTAAAACAATGAAATCAACAGAGAATTTGCTTAAACCGAATTAATTTATTTAGCGATAAATTTAAATTGGTCATCCTTACGATTAACCAATAGGCTTTTACTTTAGAAATGTTCAGAACCAATCGAAAGTGAGCAGAAGTACGCGGTGATTGGTGGAAAGCCCCACCACGCCACCTGTTTTGTCTGTGAGGTCTGCCAGAAGGCCCTCTACGGCGGCAAATACGCAAGTAAAAATGGTCGAATCACGTGCCTCGCCCACCGCTGATCTCGAAGCAGGCATCGTTGGTTTTTTGAGATTACCGCTTACTTATTCAAATCAGCCATCGTCTATGACTGTCTCAACTTATATCGTTGTTATGTGATACCCTTGATGGATGTTCTTAACAGTGTGATACTCCCTAACCGACGCGGTTGCCGCGTCCGTGATTGCAATCTGTAAACCTTGAAGGTTACTTTAAATTACTATAATAATTTAAATGTCTCCCCACTTATGTCCGCTTAAGTCGGTAGGACTAGTTCCGCTAAGACCTGGAACTTGCTTCCGAGTGGCCTGGATCCTATCGATCTCTCAAGCAGATAATCGATCAACCATTACTTCAGACCATACTTCATTATCGATCGGCGTGGGTGGGAGGAACACCGTGAGTGAGCACAGGCCTCGGAGGGGAGGCCAATCAAGGCCGCCTAGGCGTGAGTCACTCGACCGTAGTCATAGTAATTGATTGACGTAGGATTTGGAGGACCCAATCGGCCAATCAAAGGGGGATGAGCGGGGCGCGATTTCTGGATTGTTTGATTGGTCAAAAAATATAAACTTCCAGAAAAGTGGTAAATTCGTTTTACTGGCGAAATTATGGCAGTAGTGGGAAATTGCTGTCGCGTGTAGGCCTACAGAGCTGCTGCATGACAATTAAGTAGGCGCTGTGATTTTGTGCGGTAACTCCTGCGGAGTAATTGATTTGGTAAAGGACATTAAACAGGATGTCCCTTTATTTATGCCACCAAAGAAGACTGCCGTTCCGTCTGACATTTTGAGATGAAGTGGTGCTGTATTTTGGTATTTAAACGGGTAAACACGCTATTACCTGCTCGCTTCGTCTCGGGCTCACCTGGGATCCTCCCTACAGATCCGAAAGATTTGCATTTCTGTTTCTTACATCGCGCGTCTGTGGCCATTTTCTGTTTGGTTTACCATCGTGCTGGACAACTTGGGCAGTTTAGTCTTCGCTAGATGTACTTCCGCTTTATCCCACAGTCCCTTAACTTGCTACTCACTCGTGAGTAAGTAGCATACTCTTCCGTCATTACGTTGACTAATTACGGCCTCGTAGTAGGCTTATGATCGCACACTATCAAAGATTAAAGAACCCAGGGCAACGCAGACCACTATAGAGCAGATTAGATACCTTCCATTCCTTCAAAAGTCGCCTCCACGTCTTTAAGTGAATGTCTTCACCGGAGTAAATAATGCGACCGTGTCTTTGATAAAAGGTCTCTAGGAGTAAACAGTGGGGAAGTCTGAAACTGCGGTTTTTGCGTGACCTTGAAGTTTTCTGGCACCGACTTGTAATTCCTTCCTTCAGAATCACGGAAGACAGAACGAATCAGTCGGGATCTGTTCTCTCTTGAGGTCCTTTGAGAAACTGGGTAGGTCAGCTTACTGGGCTGCCGTTGTTAGTGCCCATCTCAGGAGTCGTTACTGACTCTTACGTGGAAAACGGCCTTTCCATGTTAGGGCAGCCCTTTAATAGCGACCAGATGGACATGTTTAGAGCAACAGTTGCGAACATAGATGTCAGTGGTTGTTAGGACGTTCGCTAAGGTGTCTGAAAAGTGCTCTTCGAGGCAGTTTTCATTACCATAAACCATCATAATGTTAACTAGCAGAAGATTGCGTCAAATTACCGTCGGATGGACACCTTTAAGGCTATTTGGCAGTTGTAGACAACAAATAAATTCGTTTGCCCGATGGATTAAATGTGATAAGTTAGGCGGCATAAGCAAGTACTGCCGCCTGTTAATGACGCCTCCGAGAGTCCGTGTTGAATCCCAAATCCGGTATAGCAATTGTAATTGCTTTGTGGGCATTTTATTAGAAAGTGACAAGATACGCATGCAGGTGCTCGGTTGTGAAAATTGTTTATTCTTGCTGGAGTCAAGCCAGCGATTCTCCGATGATTCTCCGCCGAGTGTTGGCATTCCTGAAATTCTGAGCCACCAGTGCGGTACTTTGAGCCTTCTCTGGGGTCGTGATGGAAGAGAACCAAATCTGAGGGCATGAGAGGACCGCACAATCAAAAGGGCGAAAAACAACACAAAATGGAACTCTAATGGTGTTAAAACCTGCAAGTGTAAAATTTAAAAAGATTTGAGTAAATCGTTTTTTAAAAAACAGTGAGATATATTGCTAAAATTACAGCCTTAGCAATTTTTCCAGAGTTAGAAAAAATCGCTGGTTAAAAAGGCATTAATCAAGCCGTGGCTCTTTAAATGAGTAACTTCATTAGGATATTTATTCTTCTATATTTTGGTCCCAGAGACATTTTTCGAAATTTGAAAATATCCTTCCTCTATTAGTTGCAGAGCCAATTAGTAGTTACTTGCTGAACTGGGAGTAAAATTATTTGACTTAAAATATATATTTTTTTTATAAAACCTATTGCTTGTAGGTAATTACAAAGTGTTAGTCATGGATGCGAATAAATTTATTTGTTTACATAAACTGAATCTGAGAAGGTCTCCTCCACACATTTGAATTTTGCTTTCGCTAGACGCCTTTTGTCTTCGTGCACGTTTATGGCACTAAACTACGCTAACAATTGAACTTTTAGGACCTACTTTTTATTTGTTACTAGGTCTTTCCTAAACCTCTAGGTTCCCTTAAAAAACCGAAAATTCGTTACCGGTTTTCTCGAAAACACCCAATTTTCATGCAGAAATAAGCTGCGTAAATAGGCAAAAATATTATTGAGTAGTTCTAACTGCTGGATAATGGTCTTTAATACTTGGGGGACAATTTCATTCAAAAGCAGTGATTTTCTAATTAAGACAATACCTCAATTTTTCGCAACAGGATAAAAGGTTTAGCTTTAACCTCCTCTGTCTCCAAACGGCTTCTTTCTAGTTCATTTTCCGTGGGGACCCTCTTTTAAATGGGCTTTGCGGTGTTGTACCGCCCCAACTCTACCTGCTTCTGATCTACCTTCTTTCGCACTTTTTAGTGGCATTGTCGAGTGGACACTTGTCTTTCACAAATGGTTCATTTTTAAGGGGTGGGAATTTGCCACTTTAGTCCATCCCATGCACACGCAAAGCAAACATTGTCTTTTAGGTAAAACTACTGCAATAAGCGTCAAATGCGGTACGGCACTTCCGTGGATCTTTCCTTTGCTTAGTTTATGTTGGAATACAAAACAATTACTTTTTATTCACTAAGCAATCAAACAACAAATTGATGACAGGCTCTTGCCCTTCAACTACTCCTCCTTCACCCATCTGCTACCTAGCAAGTTACTATCAAACAATTTCCTACCTTTACAAATCTTATTGGAAGCTTTGCCTCACTTTCAATGTCACTAACAGGCAATTTTGTAGTCCTTGTCACCCCAAATCGGGTGGCATTGTCAAACCGTGGCGACAGCTCCAGGTCTGGGTCAAACTGACGAAATTAAAGGTGTTTTTCTGCCAGTCCGCCCATGGTTCCTTACCTTGAAGGGGAGGCTCTTCCCCTAACTGGTACCCATAAAATGCAATCAGCCTACTTGTCAGAGCAGAGATGCCAAATGCGACATGGTTGACAACCCACGTGACGTAGGCTGTTCCCTCTTCCAGCTATTTCGGCTGAATTAGTTAGTCTCTTCTAAAAAGGACCATATAACCCCCCCTATTTCTACCCCTTTTAAGTCATTAAAATGGAGAAGCTGGAAAACAAAAGAGTACTTAATCGCATGAAGCACACCTCAGGCTAGAAAGTAACTGTCAGACGTAGGAAAAAGGAAGAAAAAGGGTGAAAAATCGACGGAAACAGAGAAAAAAATAAAGGAAAAGAGGAAGAGACAAGCAAAATAAAGAGGGGCTTTACATGCATTGCTGGCAGGTGAATTCGTTGCCCTTGATACAGAATTGTAGGCCGGCCAAATCACACCGACACCTCGAGCAGATAAAGCAGGACTTATGGAAGCGTCGAATACCGAAGTTGACCACCGGAGCATCACCGGTGATTTCATCATCGCACCGCTGAAGGGAAAAAGCAAAATGGATGACAATGGGCGGGATGTATGTCTTGTTTTTTTTTAACAATACACTTCCACGTCCATTCAAGTTCAACACATTACCCAACAGGAGCGCCCAAACCACCTCAGCAAGTGCTATCTCAAGATAGAATTAGCTTTATTAAAAACGAAAAAAGAAGGGGATTTGTTTGAATAAACTGGATTTCTAGAAAATGCATTTTTTCGAGGTGTATTTGTCCTGAACGGGAAAACAATGGTGGGAACTGCCCAATTAAAGGCACGAATAAACACAAAATTTGTCAGTGTATGTTGGTGTGATCTCTAAAAAATTCCAATTTTTGGCTAAAGGAATGCTGAAAAAAATTATTCGCTAAGAATTTTACAGTGCTTTGTGGAAGGACTTATTTCCAGACTTTCCGGCTATCTAAAAGGACCCGATAAAGTGAAGAAAAGGGAGCGTGAAAAAGTATGGAATCCGTTTCACTAAGCAAGTATTTTCACCCCAAAAGGTACCCGCATGCATGCTGAAGTGTCTGAAGGTGTCACTCAATTTATGATTTGTGTGAAAAAGATCCATTTCACAATGAGCGCCATCCCCTCGGAGGGAGGTGAGACGAAAACCGAGCAAAATCGTTTCTCGATTAACATTTTACTCTTAACTACAAGAGCTGTCATTCGGTCAAATCATGGCAGGTGAACAAAGCTCTTTTAATAGGCCCTGTAAGGGGAGTGCACCGAAACTCACAGAACAATTACTCTTGACATTTCTCGCCCAGCAACTTGAGCAGAAGATTCTTTCACCATCCAGAAAGAAGGACACCTTTGAAAGCACCATGCAACAGCCATTACAGGTGAAGCATTCAGGATGCCATTTACGACCATTGAAGTTTATAGCCTGACCCTCAGTGGTCTCCTGGCCGCATTTGACGCAATCATTGAGCTCATTAGGAGCTTGCTGTTGTTGACACGATTTTCGAGCACACTGTTGGCCTTGACATTGCTGTTGCTGACCACTACCCTGCTGTTGCTGCTGCTGCCGCTGCTCCTGAGAGTTCGCCCGTCTTCCACACGGGTCGTCCTCTTGGTCATCTGCTCTCTCTCTATCATTTTCTTGTTGTTGCTGCTGATGCTTTTGTTTTCCTTTCTGCGATTTTTGAGGTTGTTCTTCCTGGTCCTGTTGATCCTGTTCACTTTTTCCACTTTTGCGTGAATCGCTCTTTCTTGCTTGATCGCGCCGGCTTGGCATTTCGCCTAGACAATGAGACCAATTTAATGATACTACTGATAATGGGTGGTTAGTAGCTTAAATGTCTCTTTATTATTTGAGGTTTGTGTTGATGGACACTTTGAATGATAGAAATTTAGCCCGAAGCTAGCAAAGTCGCCGCAGTGGGATGCAGTGGATGAGATGTTTAAACAAAGCTGAAATTCTCATTACAGGTTGCAACCTTACAAAAAAAGTTGTGAAATTCACTTAGTAGATTTAGAAGTCTTTCAAACAGGACAGAGCAATCACAAATTTGAAAAAGTGGCGAATACAATTACCTTTAGAAGAGTGACATACAAAATCTGTGGCGACTGCTGAATCCACCTGACAAGGGATCTTTTGAAAGAGGAAAATCGATGGGGCGGCGAGTCAGCTTCAAACAGGAGATCTGCTCCAGAATGACGGCGCCAAATGCCATAACACAAATGCGATCATTCTCGGATGAATTGTTTTATTTCCCTTCATTTTAGGTTATTACAATTTTTTTCGATGGTATTCAAGGTAGTCTGTTTCCATTTCACCTGAAAAGTGAATAAGGTGGTGGAAATTTAGCCAAAATATTAAACCAAAGTTATTACATAATAGAGCTGCATAAGGAAAACGTAATAAAAATAATAGATTCATCCTTTATCAATTTACTTCTAGAAGGCTGCCATCCAAATATGTCTAACAGCGAATGGCAAAAGGCTAGAGCCGCAAACTCCTTGTAATGAGTCAGTAACAATGGAGACTCCGTAAAAATATTTCTTTTCAGAAACAAAGAAGAATTTTTATTCAGCTAGAATACAGTCTACTTCTTAGGCTTAGAAAACGGTGCAACACTTCATATGCCTGCCTCAATACAAATGACTTGGGAGAGGTCACTGTCAGTGCAATTATTAATAGAAGGGGAGGAGGCTCTACTTTGCTTTCATCGTGCTCCTCTATAATTCTCGGGTGCTACCTTTCTGTTTGTTAAGTGCCACATTAATCTTCAGACAGCAGTAATAATGTAACCAGAAGTGAGGAAAGTGGAACAGGCAAGAAAGAGGAATCGGCAGGGAAGGAAAAGGTTTACTCCTAAAAAAGGTAAGGCCAGATAATTATAGTAAGAAAGAAGTAAAAACGATCATTGAATTCAGGCGTATCTATTTGATTATCTGTTTAATTATTAGTACAAAGTGCAGCTGAATTTTTTCGATTACTTTTAAAAAAGGGGGAAGAAGACAAGCGTTTAAAGGCGAAAGCTTGCTAAGTAATTATTTCCAGCCAAAAAACTTTAGCATTAGAATTGGAATTTATTAATAAATAGAGCAATAAATACTGTTCCAACTTAGCTTATTGCAAAGCCGTTTTGGCTTTTACGGCTTTCGTCAAGCAAAATATTAGCGGTGTGGAAAATGTTCTTTACTTAAAATGTACGAATTGACGAAAAAACTTGAGTTGCAATAATTCTTAACTCTTGACTCCTTACCGGCTGTTGACAATAATATCACCTAATTGTTTAACAATCAAAAATACTACTATAATTTTAAAAACTTAGCATAAAATCCGTGACTTTTTTTGTACAAAGTTGTGAAATTTAAAATAATTTGTGCAAATATTTATTTAACCAGCCTATTCAAGGTCGTCTGTTGCGCGCGTCTCAAGTCTTGGCCTTATCAGCTTACGCGATTAGGAAGAGCTGTTCCTTGGGTACCGGCAGTGGTTATCACCTGGTGCTTCGAGGCAAATTTGGTGTATGCGCAAGTATTTTCCTATATTGCGCCCTTTTCTCATGCGGTTATTTGAGTGCCTTATTTTGCCTAATAACTTCATAACAACTTACTTGAATTAGTGTTGCGTTCATTTTCATTCTTCTACTTATTTTCCATGAGTCCAGTTTTCTTTGAGAAAGAATAAGTTTGCACTCTGCGTGATTTTATACAAAATTTTTCATTTATCAACAAACGGTGTGAAATGGGTATTTGCTTGTCCCTTTAAAACGAGGTTTTTACCAAACAGTCATGTGCTTCTATTCCCAAGTAATTGATCTGCATGGTATATAATTGGCTTCAAATAAATTTGAAGGGTTTAGTTTTTGGCTTGACACTAAATCTTTTCCATAGTTCGTTTTTATATACCATTTATCTAGTTTTCTAGACTTCCGAGATTGGAGTCATCTGTTCCTGCATTTTTCCCCTATCGTCTCGTATAGTTGCTTTTTAGGAAGAATACAAATTTGTTGCTAGACTTGTGCTGTATTCAATTATTTTGATCTTACCTCAGGCCAATCTTGGACAATAAAACATTTGCGATACTTCACTGCATTTCACCCAATTCCCGCCCTCCCTCCTCCCATTTTAGTGTTGCACGTCATTCATCTGATCGAAGTTTATGCCATTAAATAGCTTCTCCTGCCTAATACCTGAAATGTGGTATTTTTCTCTCACATAAATCGCATCTGCTCCCCTCTATTCGCCATGTAGCACCAGATTACATGCATCAAAGCGCTATGATAGTCATTTTCATTAATCAACAAATTCCGTCAAGCTGTTTTCCTGTTTGTCCTGATGTTTTAGCTGCAAGAAAAAGAGGTGCTTTTTGTCCCACTTTTCTTGACCGTTGAAAAAGACGGAGAGTAATTTCTTCCCCTTCGCCTTCTAATGACATGAAAATGCAGACTAATTTATTGCTACAGCGATATTCCCCGGGATCTATAAAACGTCCATTTATCTCACAGTAGCCTGCGATGTTATTTGTTCGCCTCCATCTTTTTTGCAAGTTTTCTGTGTGCAAGAGTCAGGTCACAAATGGATGCTACCCAAATTTCTTTTCCTCCTAGGTGACAGCATGGTGAAGACATTTCAAGTCTACTTGGGTGTAAATGGTGGAGGCACAAATCGTTGCAGTAGCTCCAGTACCAGTTCTAGCGGTGGAACGGACTCACCAGACGCTATTGTCGTAGATGAACGCACATACAGCTGTATCCACTGTCGAGCTCATTTGGCTAGACATGAAGATCTCATCTCTAAGTCATTCCAGGGCACACAAGGTCGTGCATACCTTTTTGAAGCAGTTGTCAACGTCTCCTGCGGTAAAACGGAGGAACGACTTCTCTTAACCGGTGAGTTGATATTCACGTGCTCTTGTCGTGAGGGATCTGGTGAGGATTTATGGTTGTTGAAGGACCGGAGTCCCGTGTCACTGGCGTGAAGTGCGGGTTACAGAACATCTCTGTCCTCAGCTCTACCGGTACCGGTATCCAGTGCATACAAAGTTTTTTTCGGGGCAGAAATGTCAGTCATTGCCTCGATTTCGCATTTTGCACTCATACGCAAGTTGATCCTGGAAGTTTGGCCTCTGCTTCTTGTGGCAGGGAAAGTAGGCTTCTATGATGTCCTCTCCCCCTCTTGAGATCGGGTTAAAGTGGATCTTCACAACCTTAACCATCCATTCCTTCTGGATCTAAGCCTTCTTTTATGCGTCGGCAAAGGTTTCGGTGGTATCTTACTGCGTCGGCACTACTTTACCACACTTAGACCACGAGTTTGGATTATGGGAGGCTGAAGAATCCATTGAGTAGTCTGTAAATTCAAGTTATATTGTGCTTTTCGCCGAGTAGTTTTTTTTCTTAATGCGATACATTGAAGACGTATCATACAGTTCCTGCAGTCCTGATGATTCATCCACATTCCGAGGTCAAGCTCTGGCCTCTTGTTCGCATGTCGTCTTTCCAGGTTACGAGACCCTATTACTCCTCCTCCTACTCCTCCCCCCATCCTTCGTCGTCTTCTGTTACCTTTTTATGTCTCTGGGGGAATTAGTCACTTCCATGTGTTTGCGATTTATCAGTGTAATTTGAATTTGCCCCAAGTAACTAATTATTTTTACCTGGTATTGTTTTTCCCCTCCTAATCCTCCCTTTTTCTTTTCTGTCCCACAAAATTCAGAAATAAAGCCAAATTGGTTAAGTTGAAGTAAACTCTCTCTTCCCCTTCTCCCCACTGTCCACAGATGGGTCATGTTTTCGTGCTCTCCGAGTTTACCTGTCCTGTAATAACCTGTGAGAGGAGCCCCGTATCTTTACCCTCCGTTTTTTGATGTGCCTTTGCCGGTACTTTTTGCGACCGTAGCTTTAAAAATTCATAAGATCTAATAAATGTGGTCATTACCATCTCCGCACGCCTTCCTCCCTGGCCCCGCTTCTCCACCTCCTGTCGCTCCATGTCTCGCAATGAGGACTGGCCCAGTGCCTGCGAGGCCAAGCTCCACGCTCTCCACTGAGTCACCTCACCTAGCACTCATTGGTGGTGTTGTCTGTCTTCAAGGTCGGCGTCCTTGTTCCTTCTTCCTACGCTTTTTTCCCGCGTCGACGACCTTATATTGGGTCTAGAGGGGAGAGGAAATTAACTGTTTCTTCCCTTTTCTCTCTCGTTATATTAGCTTAAAGTAGCTCCTTTATCCGTCCAGCTTGCCAGGTGGACTGGTCCTCCTGTAAAGCGAAACTCACGGTCTCCATCGTGTCACCTCGCATTCGTTGATGGTGCTGTTTTGTCTGTCTTCACGGTCGGCAATGCTTTTTCGCAGGAAAAAAAAATTTTTTGTTCCGCAAAATAAAGGCATTTAATATGAGGAAAAGATGACAAGAAAGTGGCCTCCCACATGGCATGATGGTGTACCTGGGAATTGCCTTACCATCTCCTTTTCTACCCACATTCTGCAGATGTATTTTACCTTCCATCAGGTGGGAGAAAATTCGGCCTCTCTTTCGGTTTAGAAGGGCCTGTCCACCTTCAAAACGATGCGCTCCCCTCCCTCTTTCTCCTCTCCACACTCAGTGCGGGTCCCTTTTCTAGGCCCTCGAGGCATTCAGTAATTTGATCACTTTTTTCCCTACACTGCTTAGAAAAAGTTCACAAACAAAACTTCTGAAGGCGCGTGTTTAAATATACGCACTTGTGTGTGTAAATGCGGGACGTTCAAAGGGCACTGCACTTTAAGCTCCCCTTGGTTGCTTTTTTTCTGTCGTTTGTTCGCCGGACGGTGTGTCATGTGACCCATTCTGTCTGGTTCATCACCTGACCCACACCATTTGGTTGGTGCCGGTGCTATTTTGGGACGCGGGGCTTAGTAAGCTGCATACCCCTCCTCCAACTTCTACCATGGTTGGAGGGGAGGGAGGGCGGATTTTCATATCCTAAGTAGAAGGGAAGTTATCAAAGTACTGATGGGATTCACTAGAGCCCTCTCTCTCGACCTCATCCACTTGTCTCTCGCCAACTGATTCCATCCTGACCTCTTGTAGCCCGAAGTAAATGCTAAACATAAGGAAGCAGTTTAACTGATTTTGTCTATTGATGCTTTCTGCCGCCTGCCTTTCCCAGCCTTACAAGGAGACGTCAGATTTGATTGCTAAAGACACGAAGATCGTCTGTTGTTAGCATTCAAAACGCTGCATTGTATCCTTCTCCGCTTCGACGTCAGTTGTTAAATAAACTGCCTAGTGCAAGACCAGTCATGTATCCAACTTCCCACGTCATTCGGACTAGTTACAAATAAATTTGGGAATTTTTTTTAAAAGAGGTTGTCAAATCACCGTCTGTAAAGTTAGCGTTTGATCCAGCTCTTAACTTTCACGCGAGTTGTCATTCCCCCCCCCCTCCACCCCCAGAAAAGTATTCTGTCGGGAGGATGACGTTGTTTGTCAGACGACTTGACTGTCAAACGCTGTCAAGCTGTTCCTCACTGTGTGCAAAGGAGAAAAAATGCGCCATTGGACGGACTGGTGATGGGAAATGGCCCTATATTCCAAAGTTGGCTGAGAAAGCGGACATTCCTCTGGACGCTCTATTTATTAGACACTCTATATTGTCTTGGACGCGCTCTGCTTTGGTTCTAGTCCCCAGAATACGGTGCGATTTGCGTGCAGGCGGTGCTCACACTCTGGAGGCCAAACCGTTACGCCTGCAGCTAATTCCCACCTACTTGAAATAACTCGTTCAATCACAGAGGTGTGCCGGAAAGTGAAGAATGAATTTTCTATCGAGACAGCCACAAGCGGTCAGCAGTGAGTGGGAAAAAGTGCGCTGTTCTCACAAGATTACGTGAGGTCTCGCACCACATGCTGCCGCAGAACCTTCTGGTGGGAAGATCTTCTGCTGCCTTTTTCGTCAGTCTCAGTACTCCCGGTAGCACCGATCCACACGACTGCCACTGTCCAACAGACAGAATGGAAGAAGCTGGGATTACGGACGGACTGCGGGGCAGGACGGCAGGGTGGAGGGTTAATTAGGAATTTCAAATCAGTCTCATCTCAGTCCCATTTTGTTATTACTCCGATTTATTTTCCCGTGCTTTCACAATTTCCTAGTACCTGGTGCCATTTTTATTTGTATAGATTAAATGAAGGCATTGTTGTGCCAGCAACTCTCCAAATACATTGCCATAGAGCCATTTATTCACCCATAAAATGGCTGATCTTATCGAAAAGTACTATGCCCACTCCTTGTTACACCCGCGTCCCATTGGCTGATTGGAAGGGCGGACTCTTTGGTGAGTGTTATTCTTTGTGACAAATACGAAACGAAATTGCTCTCAAATTTTGCTTATTTTGACGTGTAATTAAAGGACAGTAATTTGCCCTCAGTTGGGCGTGCCAGAGTGTGTGTGTGTGTGTGTGGATGTGGGTTTGTGTCACTCATGGGTCAGGGTTAGTTGTCCCAATGCCTGACTCGTTGGCCAGGCCGTGGTGTTACGCTGTGGCTATGAGCACGGTCACGTGATTAACAAATGACGGCCACTTTTGCGCGTGTTTTCACACGTTTGAACCGGTCTCACCGGCCTTCAATCAGCTGAGCTTCTTGCATACTACTTAAATGGGGCTACCCGCTATAAGTAGGAAAGGGATTGTTCATGGCGGGTAATGTAGCACACAAGATCATTTTTCCGAACTCTCTTGGTGAGTAGTTTTAGCAATTTTTTTTTGTTGAAAAAGATGAAAGTAATTCATAAAATAAGGAAAGGCGTTCCCATTTGTTGGCTGCTTTATCTTAGAAAAGTTACCGCTTACTTGCGTCAGATCCTGGTGCCTCATGACGTCTCCTGATGACGTTTGTGGGACACATAAAGTGATTCACGCAAGCCTTCATGAAAAGTGCATTGGAAGACCTGATGGTGACTACTGACAGAAGTGGCGTCACTCCGCCACTGTGACTGGAACAGTGAGCAGGTCAGAGAGGGGTGGGAGTAGAGAGGATAGAGGTGTACGATACCTTTAGAGAGGGATGAAAATCCCTTGGCATGGCTAGAAAAAAACATCGACATTTGGGTGTACGTGCCACGTGTGCATCAATCTTTGTCTGGTCTCCCGCCGCCCACTGTTAGGAGGGCCATCATCACGCAGTCGCGGCTCGGCTGACAGACACGGCCTGGCGTTTGACATCACCGTCTGTACGTCGGTGCTGGAATTGCGTCATCAGTCGGCGCGCTGCAACACAGGTCGGCGTTATCGCCTATACAACATGGTGGCGTCCGCCTTTCCTGCTTTTTTCCTTTTGCCCCCCCTCCCTCCCTGCACCCTGAAGGAAAGACAAGACAGCGTGGGATACCTTTTAAGCACCGCTTCGTCTTTTACGGTTATTGCTTAAGGCAACTGATTTGTCGTGGGACGCTGTCTTTACTCGTGCATTGGGGGCCGCGTTAATTATACGTTCCCTCGCATAGTAGAGGACCATAAATATTCTCTCCTTTCGATTATTTAAGGGAGAAGAAAAAAATATGAAAAGTGCGAGGTCGTAGGTGAATAAAAGTCTTACTTAAGGTTTAAATGCCTTGTTTAAAGGCAATCTTCTACGTAAACGCGACTACAGGTGCCATTCAATTGGATCGACTGGTGGCGGTGGTGACGATGTTGATGGTGGCCTGGCTGTGGTAGATAGTTGGGCGTTAACTCAACTTGCTTAAACCGTTATTCATTCTGAAACAACAACGTCACGATTGGTGCAAACGTTTGTCTTTTGGCGGGTTTTTCGCTCCCCCAAAGCATTCCACGCTTTTCCACTTCTTTCCTACTTTGCCACTTACTACTGTGAGACGAATCCCACCATTATTCCGAATAACTACGGAAGGGGCGGGTTCACCGACGTCAATACTGTGGAGTAGGGGATGCTCTATCCTCAGTTCTTGTAGAGTTGGTTCCAGTTGAATTGACTTCTGACGAGGCTGCCCTCTCCGAACAACTGTAAGGGAGGGGAAGCGAAATTTTGTTCCGTTTTGAGCCGCCTGGTGAGAGGCAAACGTGTTTACACATTCCATGCACAGACAGTCGCGCATACGGCAGCCGTCTACAAGACTTGCTGTGTGATAGTTGACGGGCGGTCCTCTTATATCTAGTTAGACAAAGCATCTTCATCAGATTGACGGCTCCTTAGCATTGCAAGTAATGAATGAATGCCATTAGAAGAAGTAAGACAAATCAAAGAATTGCTCGAGAAACAAAGTGGTTGCTTTGCATTTTTTGCCTATTGACATGATACTACTTAAATGTGGATCTAGTAGCCTTGGGGAAAAATGCATCTTTTTTTAAGATAAGAATGGTACCTATTTATGACTAGCTGACTGGTAAATGAATGGATGGACGGATGGAGGAAAGGGCGTTAGCTCCATTTGTTACCCCATTTTTCACACTGACAATTGTCTTGGAAAAAAGAAGTAACTACACACTTTTTGTTCTTCCAAAATCGGGAGCACTTAGCCGTTTCATTTAAAGAGCCTCCTGGTTTATGTGTTTGCGAGTCCGAAGAGTGAAGCCGCGGTCTCTCCGGAGAGCGCGCTGTTATCGAATCGGGTGTGGCCGATTTGATTGGCGTGAGTTAGTCACCTCGTTGATTGGGGAACACGTGAATTGTTTGGCTGTTTTATCCATCTTTTTCATCAGTAACTATTTCTATTGCAGATATAAAGTTCCAGAAATGTAAGGCAAACAAATAACTTTGTGCAGTTTTTTACAAGGTCAAGTAGATTACGCGCGGCAAACCTTCCTGTAATGTTTGTCTGGCTTAAATAATCAGTAGTGAGAGAAACAAGGTGGTAGTGGAAGCCGCTTTTCACAAAACGCTTTTTGCCTTTTCGAGCAAGCAACGGTGTCTGAATATGATGGCCTAGCCGTGATTGGATTCGTTTTTATCTAGATATCACCCCATAGCTGTCTGCTTGGCATGTCTTATGTTTGCCGACGTGACAGGAGGGGATAGTCATTCCATGGAGAGATATTGACAAGCGAATACGGGTGATGGATGATACGCATGGCTGTGGTAAGGACGAAGTTATGTTTGGAGCGGTATCTTCCTCCGCCGACAAGTTTTGTGGCGCCATGTGGTATGAGATCTTCCACTGCCTCGTGCGTGTGATGCTCTTCCTTCTAACTGGTGACTGTTGACGATTCTTCGCCGTTTCCGCAATGGCTGATATTTGCTTGCGAACATCGCCGCTTTTCTTCATATCGTTTTAAGCATAAAAGAAGAAGAATGGTGGTTCTTCCACGTCGTGGTGCTTTTTTAAATGATGTGTCCTCCCTCACCCGAACCAAGGTGCTTTACATTATCTCATGTATAGCTGATTCAACCGACAGCTTTCGACATGATGCAGAAGGAGGAGAGTCCAATAAATAGTTGCCCTACTGAGCCTGAGCCATCCACTGCCCTACTTTTATTCCGAATATAGAAACTAACTTTTTTCTTCACTTAGGTGGTCCTTATATTCACACTTCAGATGGTAGATGTTGACACCCTCTTGATATTCTCGACATGACTTTACTTTCTGACGCAGTCATACACCAGCTGTGGGGGTTTCACCATCTCCTGTAGCCACGATTATTCACAAACTTTCTGTCATTGTTTATAAAATACTGTTCCGTGAATCGCCACACCGCCCCACCACTGCCTGACATTCGTATTTAACGATGCTTCGACATGCCTGCGGCATTTGTGCCAGCCATTGGCTGGAGGAGGAGGAGGAGCGAACACAATCACCGCTTACTTTCTGCACTTCCTGGGTCATGCAGGCTCTCTTGTACTCTCACATTCCTAATGTTGCGTCCTCTTGGAAGTATGTAAAAACTCCAGCATCCAATCGTCCAGAAGGCGGTCTGAAAGTGGATTATGGCCTGGTGGCCATATCCTTAAGATGGTGATAAGGCGCATGGAAGTTGAAGGGTCCGCATCATCCTCTCTTCTCTGTGCGGACGAAGGTGCCGCAGTGAATTCGCATCATGTGGAGAGAAGGCTACCCCCTCGGCCACGATATAAGTAGTTCCCCTCAAGGTCCATATATTGACTCTTTCTGTCGATTCCAGTTCATTTTTCCCCTGCTGGCGGTCAAATTGGAGTTTAGTTGGAAGTAGACTGTCAAGTTATTTCACCGATCCGAAGGGGATTTTTTTACCTCTGTTACTGTTACCGATGCCCAGACGAGCTGGATCACTGTAGCCGTGGAGGGGTTGTGTTGGTGGAGGTTACACCAGTGGAGTTTGAACACCCCGCTCAGTTATACGCACATTTAAACAAGCAATAGTTTCACGTAATCGTGCCTCTTCTTCCCGATTTATTTTAGGTCTTCATTTGGTCGCTGACATTTATTGCGAGTGTTGTGACACCTACCTGGGCTGGAAGTACGAGGAGGCCTACGAACCAAGTCAAAAGTACAAAGAAGGAAAGTACATTATTGAGTTGGCTCACTTGATCAAAGACAACGGATGGAATTGGTCTTTATTGAAGCCACAAACACGCTGATTGGCTTATAAGCCTCTTTTTTATACGTCCCCGCCTTCCCTGCCCCACCCTCTCAAATCCCATTGGTTGATGGCATTTCTCCTGTACATACCTTCATGTGACCCCAGGGTTTGGTGTTAAAAGGGACATTCACTGTGATTTGTACCCTCATCGTGCCCCCTTTTGTAAACAGGCTTTAAGTAGGCCATAAAATCTTCCAATTATTTTAGTAAGTCTGGTTGCTGCGATGTTGGGTTGCTTTTTGTAAGGTGATTAATGAGCACGGTTGTCTGGTTCCTTTTTTGCACTAACAAATCGGTGGTAGGTTCGGAGTCCGTCTTGAACGTATGGAATTTCCGGAAAGGCTGAGAACGGGGGCAAATGGTAGTTTCCACCATTGTCTGGTGCGTAGTCCTCTGCTCCCGTTGACTGTCGCCCCCCGACGTTCCCCTTGATTGCTCGCCTGAGTCTGGGTGGCAGTGTTGTCGGTGCCTCCAAAACCCACTCGCTGGGGTTGGACTGATGGCCAGCCAAATTTTCACGGAGGCAGGGTGACATTTTATCCTACTGCGTCAGTGCTGGGTCCCATTAAGGCTGATTGACCCGCAGTTGCATCTTTGTGAGAAACACTGGGATAGACGGGCTTTCAGCGGCTTTGTATGGCCTAGATCTGGGTGATGTTCCACGCTAAATGCGCTTCGTGCTCTAACCGATGATCACAGAGGCTTGTGCCAGGCACTAAGGGGCATTTGTGAGTCATGTAAACGAGGTTACCTCGACAGAGCTACAATCCACCAGTCCCCTCTTTCATTCCTGCGTGACAGCCTCATGGTTAACACTACCAAAGCCTTAGAGTGAAGGTTCTGGTAAATCGACCCCTATAAATGTCCACATCATCATCAAGCATTGAGTTCGTTGGAAGGGTGTTTGTTCTTTGCCGCCAACAGTGTGGGTGTCCTTGGAAGTGGCACAGCCTTCGAGAGTACGTCTATCCTCTCAATGTAAGAAGAGGGATCCGGCCAAATCGCCAGGGCTACTGTCTTCTACCTCAGCTGACAATAGACAAACGCCTCGCCGCCACCAGGGGTTTAGTCAAGTCTTGATAACTTCTGCTCAGTCAATTACAAATGACCCCCACCAAATTGTACTTTTAATGCCTCAAGCATTTAAAGAGTAAAGGGGTCATAAATGGACAAAAATTTTACGTGGTCCTATCCCATTTCATTGCTTCTAGCAGCACTCCACCGCTCTGTACTTTTATATTGTCGCATCTACCAATGCTCCGCCTGAAAGCCCTAGAAAAAGGAAAGTGTACTTTAGCCAAAGTGGGAAGGTGTGGCCTTAGTTTCAATCAACCCTCATGAGACGCTTTTGTTTGTGGCCTAACAGAAAGCCATTTCAAATCCCTTGCCTTTATCCCATTCCGTGATTTCTTTATGCACCATGATTTTGTTGTTACTTTTGGCCCTACTCAGTCGGATTGGTTTGTTAAATATTTATGGGCAGTATGAAAGACCAAATGTAGTTAAATTGGAACTGATTTTGTACTTTGTTTAAGTGTATGCCAGACCAGGCAGACGGTTCAACTTCTGCAGGTTGTAATTCCACTCGACCGTACTTGTAGCATACGCCAGTGAGTGGTATGATCCTCCATTCTACCTTGGATTATTGCCACCTCGGCGAAGGCTGGAGTCGCTGCGCCTCCATTTATTGGTGGAGCGCACCAAAGCGTTGAAGAACCTTTTGTGCTGCACAAGCGAAAAAGAGGGACTTGCTGAGGTGGTATGCCGTTCCAACCAGTTGTGTTTACATCCAAGTGGAAGACATGCAAAGCTGTATAAACATCTAGTGGTCAAAAGGTGCAAAGGCCATCAGCACGAGAGTATTGTGTAAATATTTTCTTTGAGGGGTTAAAGAGGACAACCAAACAGAATAGACGCCTCCCGCGACCCTCAAGGCATCACTTAAACGGCGAGGCGTCGTTCATCCGAGTACACCTGCATCTACCGCGAGGAAACAGCCGTCAAATCCGCAAATTCCAATTGTACGACTACATTTTCTCGTTCTTCCGAAGTATCTAAAGAAGCTGGGGGTTCGTAATAGCGCTTACTCGAAATTTCTGTATTTATAAGGAGTCAGTTTTGGCAGTGTCTACTCATTAATAGTCGGTGGTAGCTGTCCACTCTTTCACTTTTTGTACTCCAATGGTTTTTGTAGACAGTGAAGCTTCTCTACTCCACTGCATCCACTACAGGTGGGAGTTTGCTTTCTCTTTTACCCGATTTCTTAAATATCTTTTCTGCACAAAATCATTAAATAGTACCTGCATGAATATCGCCTACTTAATAAATATGAGTAGACGCCTTTTTCAACAGCGTTTATTACCCTGAGGCCTTGATTAAACAGCGGGATCCCTCTGCCCCCAGCTTGTAACAAATTTGGTATATTCAATTCTTTTGCCCTTCAAATGATTCCTTTTCACTGCTCATTCTTCGATTTTAAGTAGACAATTGGCTAATTACAAGCTTGTTTCAATTTTCGCATCTACCTTACTAACTCTTTACATTTGGCTGCACACCACTTACTAGTTGTTAGTAACAATCTTTTTCGCCACACTTGTTTCCTAATTATTTGATATTTTAATATGATTGCTTATTTATGATTTGCATTTTCCATTTTTGTTACAAGTCCCTAAACTGCCAGGCCTACTGTCCGCTGCCAATAACTTATCAGGGTTTGGAGGGACCGCCGCACCGGCGGTGGCAGTAGGCGCGGTGAATGGATCTAAGTGATTAGCCTAAAGTCCCTCTCACTGGCTACAAAATCTCAGTGCCACATGCGATACATATCAACAGCGGGCAGCTGAACCCTGGCAGACACATTTGCATCGTTTACTTCTACGAAAACACCGGTTTTGTGGCCTATGAAATGACCTTACTGGAAGTTTACCCTGTGTCTTTGAATCCAATGAAATTAAAGAAAATAGCAGAATTTTTTTAGAGTTGACTTGTAATAAATAATAACGCCAGGTAGAAAATTTGAATAATTTAGAACGAAATGCTTACCGATGGGAGAGATCCGAGAACATTTACTGCTTCCTCATCATTATGATGGCGAAAAAGATGGTTAAACATGTCTACAAAGATAAGCATAGTGTTTCTAATTTGTTTGCAAGTACGTAAGAACGTTCTTTTTTAAACTTGAGGTGCATTTTTTTCATTATTAATAAAACTATAAAGTGGGTGGCTGATCCGATTTCAGTAGTTGGGAATGTTACATTCATAAACATCACCTCTGCATCTATTTTCACCAAATTTATTAATGAATACGCTACAATTATTTTGGAAAACCAAAAAAAACTTTTGTTTGACATGTCGTCTTGTTTTATTGCTCGTTTGCCGACTGACCGACTGTTAATGAGGCCACGATTCATTCTCGACCCAACTCGAAATTTGCAGTTGCAACTCTTTTCGGCCGGAAGGCTATGAGTGGTTCGGGTGGGTGCCCGAATCCGCTGACACAGTTCTTTACTTGTTTAGGAATAGACGCTTATCGCTGATATTCACCTACTCGATAAACTCTGCAAGATCATCTTCTACAGAAACAGGACGAAACTAACAATTCCCAAGAAAGTCCTACCTATGAATGCATGGCCTTACCTGCCATAACATTCTCAAAACTTGTACACGAAAAAGATCTCCTTTCAGCATTACGATTGGAAGGAGAATTTCGGCGCTTTTGCACTTCCTTATGCCCTTAAATAATTACTTGATCACGGGGCTTCACGCGTTTTACGCTCCAGGGGAAAAGGACTCGTGATTACCCAGTTCTCGAAAGGGTTAATAAACCTCTCTGTGGCGATCTAAAAAGCGAGATGAGGCGGTATTTGGGCATTTTTAATGGCTTTTCAGAACATATGTTATACAGGCAAAGGATTGTGCTAACAAGGACGGCGTCGGTAGGGGATCCAATTAGTCTCCATCTCTTCTATTGCTTCCCAGGCTTTTGTGTTACTAAGACGCTCTACTTCGTGTAAACGCATAGTAGGTAATTCCATGGCGCCACTAAGCCATACGCAAATAGGTGAACGATGCGATAATTGTTTGAATTGTGCGGTTTTCTGCTAGCACAGCTTAAACTACAGCAGTGCATCAGTCCCTTCATCTCTGCTACGCAAGTTCTCCGAGTCCTCGCAGAAGTCACAATAAACCAAGGTGGTGTGGAAGGGCATACTACTGGAAGCCTCATGGCACTATCCCAAAGCCAGCCTAGGCCAGGCCGCACAGTGACGCGTAGACTGAACTACCCGACCATGGCCTTTCACTTATCATTTCGTCAAAGAGAGGGTTATCCACCATACCGAGATGTCATCACTCTCAAGTGCTTTGACTTGGAGATCAAAGTGCTAGATCCGTCGTAATCAAGTACCTTTCCAGCCCCAGAGGGAAAGCTCCCCTCCGATCACATCTGGGCCAGGAGGTATTGTCGTTCATAAGTCAGTAAGTCAAGCTGCTAGCATGCAGACAAAAAGAAGGGATGAAAGGTTGTTCGTAGCGAATTTCCTTGTATTTACGGCATTTATAAATTTAATTTAATATTTGTTACTGCAGTTATGACTTAAATTAGTCCGGAAAATCTGACTACTGAAATTAAATCAGCTACCCCCTTTGTGCTTAAAGAAAAAATGACCCAAGATTTAAAAAATAAGGGCCTGATAAACTTTTAAACAACTTGAAAGGAGCATATTCAGCTTCAAAAACTTGCCTGAATGTCCTTTTTATCTGCTATGATAAAGAGGCCATGTTACGTCTAGACTTTTCATCAAGTTCGGTCACTTATTTCTAAGAAGATTTAAATAGTCTTGCAAAATTCCTCAAAATGTCAAGTGCTAATTTGGGGGAGCGCGCGTAAGACAGAAAAATAATGTTTGAAATTGTAATGGATTCCCTCTTTGTCCTATTGAATCTGCCCTACAGTAACGCTCTACTAGAATCACGTATTTGTATGCGACAGGTCGAACAGCCAGCCAAAACTCGGCGTCACGAACACATGACACGTATTCTCTGCCACTTAGTTAAGTCAAATTGTGTAGCAAACGAATTGGCTCACTTTAAGACCATAAAACAAGTGGGAAAATTCCTACTTCCCCAAGGAAAGGTCCCCTCTTGTCATCATATCCGATGATGTGGATTCTTTTGGTTAGATTGCGCAAAAGGGGTAGGAAGTGTCTTGACTGTGTCGGATGATGTTCCCTGATATTTGAGGCAGCAATTGTGATGAGAGAGAATACCAACGGAAAAAACCTCGAGACAGTTGTGTTTGTTCGCCGACAGGTAGGAGTGGGCCAAGGCAGAAGCGGTGTGGAAACGCGGAGATTGCCGGAGATATTAAGGGGAGGTTGCAGTCTCAATCATTTATGGGCGTTTAACAAATCCCAACCTTTTAGCGAGTTTATTGTCACCTGCCAATCAGGAGGGAATGCGCTAGAGGGCGACTTTTGAGTCATTCTGTTGATAGATGTCACGAAACAAGCCACTTACATTTAATGTGATCTGCCTCTCTTAGATTCTTCTACATTTACGAAAAAATTGGAATTCCCGGATCTGCAAAACTTTCCACAACGGGAATTCGCACACAGCAAGTTAGAGTTGGGGGCAAGGGGCAATTTACTAACCCATCTTTAATCTTTCGTATCTAACACGATAACAGTCCTCCAAGTGATGTTTATCCTCTCCCCTCTCATTAGAGGGGCATAATGAGGTGGTGATGACTGAGCACCTCACTTTCGTGATCCGTGTACAGTCGGTATTCAGAAGTCCTCCTGATTCCAAAGTCATCGATGCATTGCATGGATGTCAAATAGTTCTCCGTTTTTTGGATTTTGCTCACTTTTTACCAATCAAAGTAGAACAATGCCACTTTAGTACTGACCGTGTCGACCTTGCGGATTCGGCTAAGCTGCTGGGAGCGCCAAGTTCGTTAAACCAGCCCCTAATCGTCACATAGAAAAATACGAGATGGAAATGATTGCGCCTTGAAAATTATATCTAATTTGTAGCTCTGCTTATTCAACCGCCCCATTGGGGCACCCTTCTCCTGCGATGGGTAGATACCGGGATTGGGAGACTCGGTATATTTGTTTATAATGTGAATTGCCAAGAGGCAGACTTAAAAAGCCACTAGCTTGTGATTAAATATACTATACTATACTAATGAATAGTCCAACTGAGCCAAAAGGCTAACCTAAACAAATAGTCTTTTGTTGCTACTGCGATCTGTTATTTACAAGTCGACACAACTGGGTCAATGAGTGAGGGGCTAAAACTCAAATAGGCGCCCTTTTACGAAGTGAAGCACGACCCTTTATCTGTCAAATTTTAACATTTAACACGTGTTCAGTTCACCTTGATTGGCCAGAACCAGTTTAAGGCAGACTTAAAGTACTGCCCGCCACAAGGCAACTAAGGAGAGAGAGAGAGAGACAATTTCGAATCCACTTTTGGCGAGTCCACCAATTCGTCATAACAGTGGATTGAGCGAACTCAGGGATTCAGCCATTTGTAGCAGTTGAAACCCAAGACAAGACAGTCCCCTTAGCCTGCTCTACTCGAATTTTACCAGTACAATTGCAACACAGTTTTGGAAAATAATCGTCGGTGAATTTAACCAGTTAGTCATATTTAAGTACAAACACACATGTTACATTGAAAAACGACCCCTTACTATATTATTTAATCAGGGAGAAACTGTCAAATCACATACGCTAACACCGAAAAACGGGCATTTGGTAAGCAGAGGCCATAACAATGGAGAAAGCTGATGTTGGACCTCATTCCAAACTGGAGTAGGACTTAGCTGCGGCTGTCGCTCTCTCACTCTCAAGAAGATCCGCGGCCTCTTGTGCCAACAGGTGGCCTTCATCACTGCCCTCGGGGCAGAGGAGTCGGAAAGTCTGCACACCTCGCCCTCCAACAAGGTAGCTCAGATAGGTGCGAGCAAAATACAGGAGGTAGAGAAACACCTGGTTGGGGCAAAATATACCGCCTACTTAAATTTTACAAGTAGACCTTTTATTTTAAAAAAGAGTTACCAAAATAAATAAATGGATTTCCGGAGGGCAGTATGCCTCAGATGTGCTGCTTTCCCAAAAAAGTCTTGTTCGTATTTATTAACGTCATATCAACAACTCACCTGAATAATGCAGCAGAAGAGAAGAGCTAGAATGCATGCACCAATAGCAAATCCGGGTCTATTCCAATTAATAATGGGATAGATGATACCATTGCCAATGAATCCTCCACTTCCAGATAGCCAGTAGATATAGGTGAAGAGCCCATAGAAAATGCCCACCACGAGGGGATAGACACAATGCACTAGCCGCATTGGCATATTGTTTACAAACATGTCGATGATGACTAGGAGGGCTGGAATTGAGTGCTTCAATTTGGACGTTAGTTTGAAGAAGTAGACTAAGGAAGAGAGAAAGGCGGATTGCAAATAAGGAAACAAGTTATTTATCTTTGTGCTCGCTCCATTCCATTGGCATTTCTTATTGAGAAATCAGAAATTCCTCACAGTGATGCATTGCCGAAAGCTCAGTTAACCTACATTAGTGGACTGCGGACCTACCGCATATAAAGTGGCAGATACTGTGGGAACTCCCACTAGAAAGGACTGCGGACTTTCTTTAGATGATTAACATCATGATCAGAAGGAGTTATGTCATTTCCTTTGGGTTGATAATTGACAAATTTTAGTGACAAAGGTAATTGGCTGAGAAAATTAGCTCGACGTCAAGCATCATTCATCGTTCACGAGAAATAAGTTGAGAGGAAATTCATCCAACATATGACCAAATTAACAGGATGACAATAACTGATTGATGGTGATAGGAGTTGAAGAATGACCACGGGGAGCCAACTCCTTTGAAAAAGGGAGCAGAGGTCATTCAGTCCTCCAGATTAGTGTATCTTCCTCATCTGGTAGGTCATGGTTGCAACACCTTATTCGTTTCGCACTCTGATAAATGAATTTTGGCTCTACTGATAAAGCTGCTTACGATTTTAGGAAGACACGAAGAGCTGCATGCAGTACAGAATTATGTAAGGGCATTGTTTAAAAAAACCAATGCAAAATACATAATGGTTCAAATGAAAGTAGCCACCGTTCAATTGGTGCATATTTCTGTATCTAGAGGGAGAACACTAAATCGGCGCTTGGTGACATTTTATCAACTGACTCGTTTTCATCGTAACTATAAATAAAAACAATATGCCCTATTTCAGTTTAAATTTAAACATGTGTATTTAAATCAGGCTATGAATAAATACATAAATTGCACTCATAAACAAAAAAAACAAAGAATATATCCTCCTTTTTGTCCGTCTTATTATGCTAGAAAATTACCCATTTTTTTAATTCTAAGTGACAAATTTTAACCTAATTACTCGATTTCTTTTATTTGAAATGTACCACTTTTAAGGTAAGTCCCAAAAACATGCAGAAATAAGTCGATCCGGTAAAAAAAGCAGACGTAAGAATGGCTAAATGTGTCTTTATCTTGTTTGATTGTACTATGCGAAATATATTCCTTTCAATTACATTTGCCTATCCCCGGCTAGCTCATTAAAATTCGCGCCCCATCCATGCAATCTCATTGGCTGGTTTGGGTTCAGTGGATTACCACTTTTTCTCTCGCTATCTCCGATTCAACTTCCTTTCTACTTTAGTTGCAAGTTAATATGGTCATTTAAAACAAAAATTAACATCATACCATAGTCTCTGTCCCAAAATGTGATCCAATAAATGCCCGATGTTGTGATTATTGTGTTGGCGGATATGGTAAAGAAGAACCAGAGGATTCTATCACCAACAACTGAGTTCATTCGGTCTACAATCAAATATGGCTCGACTCTTGACCAAAGAAATGCACTTTACCTTTATTTAGTCTGTAGTAGACGCAGAAAGCGGCAAATCCGACCGAAGTGAGGGTAAGGATGATGAAAGCCCATTCGGTGGCGTAGGTGAACCAGAGCAGCATGGGCTTATCGCCAAGGTGACGAAGCTCGAAGGGAATTTCACACCCTAGCCATGTGACGAGGGCTGTTGCTATGACGAATCGGAAGGAGATATAAACAGCCCCATCCATCCATTGCCACTGAAGAGTAGAAATTTTTGTGTTACATAACGTGTGACTAGAAGATGCTCTATTCCCTGAGTGTTGCAAACTGGAGAAAAGCAGAGGGAAACAGGATGGCGACAGACACATGTCCATCCGTCCAGCATGATGCGTGAGGACAAACGCTTGCCGGAAGAGTCGCGAACTTTCGTTGTGCACATTAGGCGTCCCCTCCCACGCCGCTGTGGCATTATACTACTTCTGGAAAGAAAATCATCACCCCTCAACCAAGTAATTCATCTCCGGATAGTCTAATTAAGTATTAATCTAAAATACCTCACGTAGGATTGAAATTTGTACCGGTAAATGCTTAATCTATTTGGATTCTTAGGGGTCGAAACACTCCCGTTCAACAAGATTTGTTGCGCAATTCTTAGTTACTTTTATAAATATCCCTAAAATGTTCAAATAAGCCGTATCGAAATGATGTGTTCACATAAACGCATCTAATAAATTTAAAATATTGCCAATTTTTTCTTGTCGATTCTAAAATCGGATTGAGTGCTGCTTTTGAGCATTTTTGAGGTGCTGCCTTCCCTT